CTCAAAAATCTGGTATCAGGAGAATATGATGTGCGAGGAGGTTGAAAGTTAAAATAAAATTTTAGTGAGGTTAGGTTAGGGGGGTAGTTAGGTTAGCTCAAAAATCTGGTATCAGGAGAATATGATGTGCGAGGAGATTGAAAGTTAAAATAAAACTTTTGTGAGGTTAGGTTAGGGTGGTAGTTAGGTTAGCTCAAAAATCGGGTATCAGGAGAATATGATGTGCGAGGAGAATGAAAGTTAAAATAAAACTTTAGTGAGGTTAGGTTAGGGTGGTAGTTAGGTTAGCTCAAAAATCTGGTATCAGGAGAATATGATGTGCGAGGAGGTTGAAATTTAAAATAAAATTTTAGTGAGGTTAGGTTAGGGTGGTAGTTAGGTTAGCTCACGAATCTGGTATCAGGAGAATATGATGTGTGAGGAGATTGAAAGTTAAAATAAAATTCTAGTGAGGTTAGGTTAGAATGCTAGTTAGGTTAGCTCAAAAATCTGGTATCAGGAGAATATGATGTACGAGGAGATTGAAAGTTAAAATAAAACTTTAGTGAGGTTAGGTTAGGGTGGTAGTTAGGTTAGCTCAAAAATCTGGTATCAGGAGAATATGATGTGCGAGGAGATTGAAAGTTAAAATAAAACTTTAGTGAGGTTAGGTTAGGGTGGTAGTTAGGTTAGCTCAAAAATCTGGTATCAGGAGAATATGATGTGCGAGGAGATTGAAAGTTAAAATAAAACTTTAGTGAGGTTAGGTTAGGGTGGTAGTTAGGTTAGCTCAAAAATCTGGTATCAGGAGAATATGATGTGCGAGGAGATTGAAAGTTAAAATAAAATTTTAGTGAGGTTAGGTTAGGGTGGTAGTTAGGTTAGCTCAAAAATCTGGTATCAGGAGAATATGATGTGTGAGGAGATTGAAAGTTAAAATAAAATTCTAGTGAGGTTAGGTTAGAGTGCTAGTTAGGTTAGGTCAGATTAGTTTGGGCGTTTTAAATTTTTTCAATCTTGTATCTAACCTAACTCACATGAAACTTAACTCTCAAAAGTCTTTAAAATGCACACCGATTTAAAATTCTTATTTATTGCGGCGTACTCTTAATGGCGATTTAACTCGTATATTGCGAACAGATACTTTATTAAAATCGTCAAAAAATCTGTACGGACGGCCGTCCGTTCATTCGCCCTGTCCTCTGGCAATCCAAACACGCTGACCCAAAGGCATAGGCAGGCATAGGCTATAATACAGGAGCGAAAAGTTTAATTTTGCGAGTTTCGTGGTTTACTCCTTTGACAGGGAAAGGCACAAATCCCAAAATGTTTATAGCCTTGCCTGAGTTTTTGGTAATATTAAAATAATCCAAGCTGAATATACTGTTGTGACATCTGTCTTTATTATTGTGGACTAACATTTTTTCGATAAATGCAGGACTTAGTTACAAACATTATTTTTGTTACAACCTACACCTCAAAGATGTCGCCATCCTACTTGTTTTGTATACTTAATGAAACTAACGTTAGATGTCAGAGCGCTCTTATTAAAAACCATAGACGCTTCCATAGATATATGAAGTTTTAACCTCAAATGCATAAATGAATGTTTGTTTATTTTATAGTCAAAAATTAAACTTTGTTATCATTCCTTTCTCGCTTACAGGTTTAAATTGTGGACCTGGCAACTGGAAGTGACAGTAAAGCAGCAGACTCGGGCATTGCGGAAAATGATACTGATCGCTCTGTGTCGTCCGATCGTAAGACTGGTAGTTCTCGATGGATGAGAAACGTTAGCATTGAATTCGGACAACACAAATTGAAAAGGGAAAGGCTTTGTAACCAAAACAGGAGGACACGTTGAAGCACTCGCAAAAAACCCATTCAAACTTTTCAACGTTAAAATCGGAACGATTACGTAATTGCAGCAGCTGCCGATGGTGCGAAGCTATTCGTTAAACAATTGAGCCTTGAGTTCATTCGACAGAACTAAAGTTATAAAAACGGTAGTGAAATTGGCAACGAAACGGAGCGAGAGTGTTACGCAGTTTGCAAGTACCCAAAAATGTGTTGTTTGTGCGATCTTCTTGTGAAAGTTTTTGTAAAATGGTTCTGTATTGAAATTTTCTTCCAAGTGCTTTAAATAAACTCCCATGCATAAGAAGTTACGAATTGCAAAAACAAATATTCGTTTTCTTTTCATTGAGCATGATGTGTTGCCTACAAACCAGGCTACACAAATATCGAGTACCCATATTGAAACTTCGGGACTTGCTTGATTATCCCCAATTAAGTACATGAAGGACACCGTATTGAGATAAGTGCTATTGCTACCCTCTGCCGAAATGTTACAAAATAATAATCAAAACGAGTCCCGTTTTTGAATAAAGGATTTACATTTGAAAACGTAACTTTTCGACATCAAACGTTAATTTAATGAACTCGCAGCTCGTGTGTTAAAGGAAATCTGTTCCCTAAGCTCAAACAACTAATATAATGGTAATATAGAGGTGCCCTACATTTATTGGTAACATCTGAATCTGACTTAATTACGCCAGATGACGGGACGATATTTAAGATCATCAACTATTAATTATGGAATAAACTAAAATTATTCAATGACCGTAGTCAATAAACAAAGGTTACATATCATTTGATGTAGGTGTTCAGGCTCTGGTCGTTTTGTATGCTAAAGGCCAAAATGGACTAACTGAGCCAACGGTCGGATACGACAGAAAAAACTTGATAAATATATAGCCTGGTTTGTAGGCAACACATCATACTCAATGATCGGAAAACTAATTTTCTACTGTTATTGGTAATTTCTTGCACGGGATTTCGTTTAAAGTCGATAGAACATTCGACACTGGTACGAATTACAATTTTTACTCGAAGTTCGCAAGAAGAACAATCCATTTTTCGTGCTTGCAAACTACGTAACACTTTTGCTCCGTTCCACTACCGTTTTTGTATCTGTAGTTCTATCGAATAATTCCTCGAAGCTTTCGCACCATCTGCAGCTGCTGCAAACATGTGAACGCTTCGATTTTAACGTTGAGATGTTTGAACCGTTTCTCCACCATGTCCGCTTGTTTGGATTACAATTTGTGTTGTCGGAATTCGATGCTAACGTTTCTTATCCATCGAGAACTACATGTCTTCCGATCCGATGACCGAGAGCGATCAGTTTCATTTTCCTCAATTGTCTGCCGCTTTCCTGTCACTCCCTGTAGTTCCATAATTTAAACCTGTAAGAACGAAAGGAGCGATAATAAAGTTCATTTTTTGATTAATAAAATAAACAAACTTTTATTTGTACATTCGAGGTTAATTGTTAATGTATCTATGGTTACTGTATGTAAAATAATACGCTCTGACATCTAACGTTGGTTTTATGAATTATATTTTTAAAAAAAATTGTGTGCGACATCTTTCAGAAATAGATGTAATTAAAGTAATGGTAATAATAAAGTATCCTGCTTTTATCGATAAAATGTTAGTCTTCATTAATAATGATAGATGTCAGTACCATGCTTTTTGCTTTGAATAATTAATTTTACAAAAAAAAACTCACGCAAACTATAATTTTTGTGGGTTTTGTGCCCACCCCTGTCATTGGAGTAAAGCCATGAAGCTCGAAAACTAAACACTTCGTTCCTGTATTACAGTCTGATTATTAGGTGTTATAGCGTTTTTGGATTGTCATTGAAAAGGCCGGATGAACGGACCGCATCCCTACAGATTTTTTGACGATTTTGGTGTTTCTTTTCCTGATAATACACCTGCTATTTGTTGACAAACTTTTGTCAATTGTTTCCTGCTACCAGGAGAACATAATGCACGAAGAGGTCTTTTTCTATCACGATGAGAATTAGTTCAAAGCTCTATTTTGATTTAAATATTTTCCATTTCTGTATCAGGAGCATATGATGTGCGAGGAGGTGTTTCTTTTCCTAATACTCGTGGCATTTGTTTGCAAACCAGGAGAACATGATGGATGAAAAGGCCTTTTTCTATTACTATTAGAGGACTTTCTTCTTTGCCCCTTCCCCCACATTTCTTTCTTTTATAACTCTCTCATGACCTCTATCATGACTATTCACGCCCTTTTCGGTTTTTTTCTTTCATCACCTTCTTTGGTACCTTTCCCTTGCAGGAGTCACTTCCCCTCTATCTTTTCTATTCATACCTACCTTTTGCCTCCTTTCACCTCCACCGCAACGTTTGACAACTTTGAGTAGACAGACAGAACACTCACAGAACAGCGGGGTTTATAAAGGCAATACACAGAATAAGAAACTGAAAATATACTTCTATTGCAAAAGGACAAAGTAAAACTCAATACAGTAAAGCGATAATAATGAACGGTAACAAAAATCAATAATTCATTGGCCATAGCTCTTAAGTCGTTTGGGGCTTAACTAAGCAGTAAACGGTCTTGTTTTCTTGCTTTTTGCAGACGAACTCGAGTCCATTCGCTTCTGCCTCCCTCTTGCAGAACGCGATTTCGGTCTCGTTAAGATTACCGGGAAGATTGTACTGCACGCTGCCGCCGTCTGAGAGTAGATCCCTGCAGTAATTGGTCGTCGTCTTCTCGAATTCCGGACTGATGCTTTTGCCGCACTTGATCTGTAACAATAATGGTAAAAATCACATGGGTACACCCTGTATATATTTACCATCTCTGGAAACATCGCCTTGGCCATTTCGTTCTCGCGATCTCGGCTCTCCTTCCGTTTCCGATCGAGTAGCTGCAGCTCGTCGGATATGCTCCGGTTATTCGGCTCCATTCTCTGCGCCTGCCGCAACTTTCGCTCCGCCCACTCATAGTCGGCCAGCTGGATTAGGCAACGGCCGTGGTTGAAGTAGACCTTGGCAGGGATCTTGAGCGACGTGCCCTTGCAGAGGTTGTAAATGCGGTTGCAGTTGATGCAGGCGCGACGCGGCTCCTTCATTTTCGTGTAGGAGACGACGAGGTTCGTGTAGAGGCGGAGCAGGAGCTCCTCCTGCTTTTCCTGGTCGGCCATGTCGCGTAGAGTCGCCGCTTGGAGTTTCTCGACAGCTCGATTGTAAAGCACCGCCGCTTTGGAGGTGGAGCCTTTGCTGAACGCCTCGTTCGCCTGGTTGCACAAGGCGTGCGCCTGTCGATTGATCTGAGTGAAGCACTGCGGTTCTTCGTTCGCCTGGAGACGGGAGGCGCACGCGGTATCCAGGACGTTCATCACCTCTACCTAATAATATAATTTTATTTCAATGGTAAAATTAAATAAAGTAAAAAGGGGGGTGGGGGGGATAAAACCAAAGTAGAACTTGCCAGAAACTTCTGATTAAGCTCGCAAAAAAAGACATACCTCGTAGAGAATGGTAGAGTTCGGCGGGACACGCTGTAGACAACCGAACGGTCCGAAAGCCAGCTTCGGAACGACCAAAAACTGCGAAACCTCGCTCAGTTTCATGCTTTGCGTGCCGATATCGAGGCCGGCGATCGTCTCGCTATTATTCACCGTAAAACTGAACGGTTTCTTACGAATGTAGGTGGAATCGAAGGGCTCGTCGTTGTACTCGATGTAGGCGTTATAGTGAATCGTAACGAACGCCTTGTCAGGTATCGGATCGCCGTAACCCTCCCGAATCACCTTCTTCTTTATCGATCCGTCTTCGAGAAGGTCGGTCATTTTCTTCGCGAGTAACTCAAACGGTTCGGCATCTAGGTATCGATCGTCGTCGGTGACTCCCCAGCACGCGGAGTTGCTGTGCTCGTAGGCCTCCGCTTGATTGTAGGCGAGGACGTCCTCTTCCTTGGGGAGGTCGTCAAAGTTCACTTCAAAAACGGCACCATCACTGGAAATCAGTTCGCTAAAAACACAGGATGTAATGGAGGCAAGATTTCAAGTCGCTCACTTAATGTTCAGGGCCTTAGTCAGGGAAACAAGACGATCCGGCTCGCTGGTAGGAACCGCCATCCTTCCAATCCAAGTCAAAATTTGGCACTCACGTTCAACAAAAGGGCAAAGAAGAGAAAAACCGTTAACTTACGAAAAGACACAACAAAATCGAAATGTTTCAAGCGCCATCTGCACGCAATCAAAGAAACAAAACTGTCAAAGGCAAATTTACATAGCAACAGTGGCTAAAGGTAAGGTTACACCGTCAAACTAAATACGTAGGCATTGATTATACACACTAGCATTTATAATACAGTTAGTGTGTATCATATACTATGGTATTGTATTGTTGCATACCCAACACATGTTATACATGTATTGTGTGTTGCCTACTTTTCAATTCGAGTTTTTGATACAAAATGGCGGCTAAACTCCTATAAAGTCACTGTACACTAAATTATTTATATCATTGCTCATAACCGCAAGGTCGCAGATTCATTAGCCAGCATCAGTTAGTACTTTGGGTAGAGTCCAGGAGACGTGCTGGGTAAAAAATTCGTCGCGTAGACAGCATGATGTATTAAGCTAGTCAACGCTGTGATAATGCTTCTATCTACTTTTCGCTGAATTAAACGCATTTTTAACGTCTAATGACGCCAACAGGCAAACTTAACTGGTCCTCCAGTTATTGGCCGCCTCTACTCTCTCGGCGATTAGTCTTAGGGCATCAACCGTGGACCTCCTTCTCCTAAACCCGAACTGATTGGATGCCAGCTTGTCGCTTACCACTTTTCCTGCGTAATCCAGAAGACAATCGGCCGGTAGCTTATCCCCCTCCCCTTGGGAATCAGCGCTGGCCGGCTCTTTCTCCATCTATCAAGGTAGACTCCCGTCCTATGGTTTTAAGGAAAATTGAGTCGTACGTGGCTAATTAAAATGTTCTTGTGAAGGTAGATAGGTACGTGGCGACATGTCATTGGAACTGGTTCAACTATTACAAGAAATTAATTGGGAAAAGTATAGGGATTACCAAAGAGATGGCGCAAATGTACCAATTGTATTCACAAAAGACAATTCCAAATACTGGATCATTGAAGTACAATTGCTCTACAAATCCTACATGAAATTGCACATTTTCAACTGCCCTTTAAGGAGAATTGAGTCGGACGTGGCTATTTAGTGCATAAATTAAAATGTTCTTGCCAAGGTAGATACGTACGTGGCGACCTCTCATTGGAACTGGTTCAACTATTACAAGCAAATAAATTGGGAAAAGTATAGGGATTACCAAAGAGATGGCGCAAATGTACCAATTGCATACAAAAAAGACAATTCCAGACACTGCATCATTGAAGTACAATTGCTCTACAAATCCTACATGAAATTGCACATTTTCAACTTCCATTTAAGAAGAATTGAGTCGGACGTGGCTATTAAGTGCATAAATTAAAATGTTCTTGTGAAGGTAGATACGTACGTGGCGACATCTCATTGGAACTGGTTCAACTATTACAAGAAATTAATTGGGAAAAGTATAGGGATTACCAAAGAGATGGCGCAAATGTACCAATTGCATACACAAAAGACAATTCCAGGTACTGCATCATTGAAGTACAATTGCTCTACAAATCCTACATGAAATTGCACATTTTACCCTTACCCTTTAACTTCTATCATCTCATTCATATCTTAGTCCGTATTTCAGGGCGGTGGGTTGCCATTGCCTTCTCCACCCTCGCCGGTATTGTATCTGGTCCGGGGGGCCCTGTCATTCGGTAGCGTGTGTGCGATTGCCGTGACTTATTCGTTCGTAACTATGTCAATTTCCACCTCCTCCGGATAAAGCGATAAGCGTCTAAGGTTACTTTATTCAAGACCTTCACATACCTTCTGGACTGAAGAATGTCAGGGCTAATTAACAATGTATTTCATGTCCTTTGCGTACGAGACTTAGGGATGTGATTCTTTCACAAATGGGAAAGGATTGGAGTTGCTTTTAAATCTGTTTTGGGATGGCCATTCTTCAGCTTATCAAATCTTGTCTTACATTAACATTAGATCTAAATTACTATGGTGGGAAGGGCTTTCCCCCAAGTATTTTCCAAACAATAAAACGCTACATTGAGACATTAAATGCTGTAGTTTTTCGACTTCAGCACACGATTTTGTGCATGTTATGTGCGAGTCTCAACAGAACGAGGAAATGATTACAAAGGTCTTTTAACACGAAGGCTTATAAAAGTGGCGATCGATACAACGTCTTATATACAACATTATTTAAACGATTTAATTATCATTGATGCCTTCGCATTCGCCGCTCCAACTTCTTCTGTTTCTTCTCGTTGGCGGCGGGATCGACGGGCGCCTCCTGGAAGAAGTACGGCGCCAAAATGTTCTTCCACGCCAACCAGAAGCCTCTCGCGGGCGCCAAAAGCCACAGCAACCAAAAGTAGGTGGAGATCGCGGACGAGAGCAACTGGCAGCCGGCCGTCAATATTATAATGTCCTTCACGTGCCTAAAATCGATAGTTTAACACACGGGATCGGCGGTCAATCGACTCACTCGGCGATGCCGCCTTCCATGTTCAGGTCCACGCCGCTATCGACGAGTTGGCCGGTTTCGCTGTGCTTGGTCTTGGCCATGTAGACCATAAACTGATAGGAGGCGATGTACACGAAGCACGAGAACAGGTAGAGAAACTAAAAGAAACGGATTTAAGACGAGCCGTGGGACAGCGAGCGTCGCTTACGATACTGATAGGCGAATTGTAAAAGACCAAAATGATTAGCGAAGTCGCGTTCGAAGCGATTGCCATGTTTCGGTAGAAGTTGAGGGTCGACACATTTTCCTCAACGATCTGTTTCGCCCCCTTCGTCGCTTGCTTTCCCTTCTGTTGCGGCTGAAAGAAATCGGTATGAAAAACTTTCTCCCAACACCTCCCCGTGTCTCACTTACTGCCATGGTTGGAATGAAATTGGAAGCAGGTACGTTCGAAGGTGGGAAATGGGAAGAAAGTTCCACGTTGTAACCTAAAAGATGTAAACAACACGATTTGACGTTTGGTTTGGTTGCGTTCAGCGATTACAAAAAATGGCGACATTCAGCTAACTTACGGTTCTCAAGAGTCGAAACGCCCTGTAGTGTATATTAGCGCAGCTGTTGAACAAATAATATCTTGTAAATGCTAAATCAGATCTGCTCCGAAACGCAGCACAGGCAGTGCAAAATGGCGCTTATACGTCGTTTACTCGACGGTATTGCTGGGGTCGTTTGTAGGCACCACTGTTAGATTAATGTACAGTAATTTTATAGAGACAGTTGCGACCTTAGATTAGGTTTCCTTGTCTAAGGTTGCGACAATAGGAGTTCAGCCGCCATTTTGCATCAAATATTCAAATTGGAATGGAAAATAGGCAACACACAATACACGTATGACATGTGTATACTACAATACAATACTAAGGAGTAGCCAACTTAGAGACGGTGGTGTTACAACTACTGTGAATTATTATTATTACAATTAACGATATATAAAACAACACAACAATCATTTTTATTGTGCCTCCAACAAGTTAGAGGCGCGTGTTTAAGTCCATACAGGAACTTATTCGGTTTGCGCACAAATTATCCTTTCACGAGACTGTTTGGCTGTTCCATAAAAATGTCCCCCTCAAGCCTCCCATTTAGAAAATTTGCGAATCGACGAGTGATCAATCTTATTTTGTATGTTGCCAATTCTCCTGTACTATTCGTCCATCCCGCTTCCTTGAGAACTGCGCCTCACGGGCCACCTAAAGAACTTATGAAACAAGTGAAAGTTGAAAAGGGGGGAGGGGGAGTCTGACGGATATGGTAAGAAAAATGGAAGCGCTGATGGTCATACTTGGAATGATTATCCTATGCAATGCTTCCGTTTTACTAGAGGTTATTCCATACCCCCAGTCGACCCCCGGGTGCTACGCTGTCTCCAAAAATGCTTGTCGATGATCCCGCTTAAAAACTTATGAAACAAGTGAATGTTGTACAAGTTTTAGGAAACAGGATTGCACCGGGGGGTTTGGGTGGTATGGAATACCCCCCCCCCCCCCCCAGTAAAATGAAAACATTGATTGTCTCACTTCGATTGATTATCCTAGAACTGTAAGATCATCAATGCTTCCGTTGTACTGGGGGCATTCCATACCCCACGCTGCCGTCAAAAATGCTTGTCAAAGATCCTCCTTAAAAACCTATCATGAAACAAGTGAAAGCTGTAAGTTTTGGTGAAAAATTGCAGTGGGAAGAGGGGGGGCGGTCTGACGAGTATGGAATACCCCCCCCCCCACCAAAATTGAAGAATTGATGGTCTTACTCGGAATGATTATCCTAGAACTCTAAGATCATCAATGTTTTCTACTGGGGCGTATTCCATACCCCCCAGAGATATGCTGCATTTTGCTCCCAGCAGAATGCAATTAATAAACGGTTAAAATTACTATTCAGTGTAGGGAGAAATTGGCATTTCATTCCTGTAATAAAGAAGATCTCAATCCATGCTTTCGACAGTCTGGTGCAAACCTGTATTCGCAATTAATACGGGACAACATTACATTGAAATGCCGATATTACCGGGGCAGGACCTAAACTTCAACTGTCTCGTCACTTCTTTGTAAGCTGTAGTTATTGTATTGTATTGGTCGATTATTTAGCGTAATCATAATATTCCTAAAGGAACCGGCCTACGAGACTCAATTGCATGAACCTGATTCGAATCGCATTTACTGATAAATGATAATGTTCGGATCCCGGCAAAGGACTTCAAATTTTGTTTTTAGCATTAAGGTAGGAGAATTTACCAGAAATTTATTATATATATAAAAAATGGGAGTTTACAACGGGACAAATCTAGAATTGATAGGTCGATCACGAAATAGGAGTTAAATTTTTTTGAACCAAACTGATATTGTACGTGGTACCGGGTGGGTCTGGTGCGGCATGCAGTATCTCACCGTACACGACGGACCATATCGACACAACTTTGGCAATTCCTCCCGTCTTAAAGTCTATTCCCTAGTTCATTAAAAAAAAAGCACTACTCTCTGTTCTGCCGCTCTTAATCTGGGCTACCGCTTGATACGTTGAATTGGTCGATGGAGGATGAGAAGGGTCATTGAAACACTCAAGTTCAAGACCTCTGTCAGGGAAAAGTACTGACGGAGTACACCATTTGCTATACCTTCCTTGCACTCCAAAAAAAATAACGCGTAACAGCTTCCAGCGTCAGAAACAAAATTAGGAGAAGGTAGATCATGGTTCTCGGTAAACAATCGCGTTATCAGAGTTTAAAAATGCAATGCATACAGTTGGATGAACTCTGAACTGAATAAGCAACTTGATAAAAAAAAATAATAATAAACACCCGGGTTCATCAGCACGATAAGTGTAGGTTCATAAAGCGAACACGCCATTTTATTTTATTACCGTATAGTGCAAAATTATGCGTAGTCAGTCCGAAGAAATGCTGTTATTACTCGTTATCGCTCTCATTTTTTTGGTTAGTGTTCTTCTCTACTACTCGTCGAAGAAGCCTCACAATTATCCTCCAGGTAAGCTATAGCATTCCAACTCCAACCACTCCTTAGAAAAATTGTTATCAGGAAAACATATGTAGATAACTTTTTACTCTCCTGATATAGGTAATCGTTTTTTGGTGAAGGTTATCACTTACATAACGGTTGTTTAAAAACGATTTTGGGGTCAAGACCGCAAGCAAATATTTTTATGTGCTCTTCAGATATTATCGCTTTATGGGGAAGATTTCGGTTTTTGGTTTTCTTTTCTGCAAGAGTAACTTTTGGCGCCGAATTTTAGTGACAAAGAGAATAAGATGTGGGAGTACAAATTGTTCTGTACTCCTGATAAAGTCGTCCTTTGAAGAATATTTATATTTAAAACTTAGACAAAGTGTTTTTGATTTTTTATGCGATATTGGTATCAGGAGAGCAGAAGATGCTTTTTCTTTTTCTACGTCCTCTTTGGTGGCAGGAGAACAGAATACGCGAATACACTTTTTTCTGCTCTGTTCTCTTGACCGCCTGCGTGCCATTGGACCTGGCAAAAAATATATGAATATCACCTTTGGAAAAGAGTTACGAAACTTGCAGGGCCACCATGGCTGCCAGTCGTCGGAAGCTTGCCGTACGTACGCAGATTCTCAAAACGCGTCGGTAGAGGTCAGCACGACGTACTACGGGAGATGTGCAAGCACTGGAACACCAACGTGCTCGGTCTCAAGGCGGGCGAACAGCTCCTCGTCGCCGTCTGCGACTACCCCATCATAAAGAAGATGTTAGACAGCGAGGTCTACAACGCAAGACCGAACAACTTCTTCGGCAAACTGCGCACGATCGGTTCCGGTCCGGGCATAACCTGCGCCGAGGGAAAGCTGTGGGTCGAGCAGAAGCGATTCATCGTCCGTCACCTGCGCGACATCGGACTCGGCAAGGAAATCATGGAGGAAAAGATTCGCGAGGAGATCGAGGACGTCACCTGCGCGATCGACGAACAGAACGGGACGGTCGAGATCGGACGGCTCGTACAACCGGCCGTTATAAACCTGATCTGGTTCTTGGTCGCCGGAGCCCGCATTAAGAAGAACGAGGCGCAGTTCGAAAGACTGCTCGAACTTCTGGAGCGAAGAAGCAACGTGTTCGACATGGCGGGAGGGAAGCTGGGTTATTTTCCCTGGCTAAGGTTCATCGTTCCGGAAGCTATCGGTTATAATTTAATTAAGAGGCTGAACGCGGAGTTGAACGAGTTCCTAATGGAGACGATCGAGGACCATCAGAGGAGGTGGGTGGAGGGTTGCGAGAGCGATCTGATGTACGCGTTTATTACCCAAATGAAAGCGATGGGTGGCGCGTCCACGAATTTCACCAGTAAGTTCTCCTTTAGTGCACCTCACTTGGTAATGTCGAGATTTAAGGCGAGCAACTGCTGATGGTTTGTCTCGATTTGTTCGTCGCCGGTGCCCATTCTACTAGTAGCACTCTGGACTATGCCTTCCTGATGATGCTGCTGCATCCGGACGTGCAGCTGAAGGTTCAACAGATTCTAGACGCGAACTTCGGCAGGGAGCACAAGTTCAGCTACCCCGACTGGAGAAGGTAAGCTTTTGCAAGTTAATTTTTCCACTTCTAACAAAACCGGTCGACAGAGTGCCGTATGTCCAGGCCGTTCTACTCGAAGTCCAAAGGTATTGTAGTGTCATTCCAATTGCATCCCGTCGCGTTTACAAGGACGTAGTCCTGGAAGGTTACAACATACCGAAGGTAACCACCACATCATAGAGCACCAGGTTGAACGAAAGTTTCAGGACACAACGGTTTTAGTGAACTTACAGGCGGTTCTCATGGACGAAACCATTTGGGGAGATCCTCGAGTTTTTCGACCCGAACGATTTCTAGACGGAGACAAGCTCGCCTCGTTTGATGAATTCGTGCCGTTTTCCACAGGTAAACTTCTGATAAAATGGACGTAGGGCCTTACAATTTTGTGATTTATAGGAAGGAGGAAGTGCTTAGGAGAACCGTTCGCCAAAACCTGCCTCTTTATATTTTTTGCGGAAATTATACGGAAATATTCTATAGTTCCATTAAAGGGAAGGCCTCTGCCGACGACGGCGCCACTGCCGGGAATTATAGCGCTACCGCAGAGGTATAGCGCCCAGTTTATACGACGCTCAGAGCTTTACGTTAATATTAAAGTAGTTTAGTGGAAATTGAATTGAATTTAATCGAGCCTGTACCCAATTAAACCGCAAAGATTTCGCGGAATCCTGATACAAGATTTGTGTATGTGAAGGCAGGGTGTGGATGATGGAAAAAACTATCTAGCCCATTATGTGCCCCTGGTAGCCAAAGAACTGTTATTTCTTGTGTTGCGAGCAGAAGCAAAAAAACCGAATCTTTGTATACTGGGAGGGGGGGGGGGTATTGCCTAGGTGGTATTACATAGGTAACCCACAATACTACTTTCTTTTTATCACGAGGACTAAACGTTTTGGGTAGGCAGTTAGGCACTGGGGAGACTGGAATGCTCCCCAGCACACAAAGACCCCCCCCCCCCCCCCGGTGCTACTACGACACCAGTAAAGGAATATTTAACGGGGCTTTCCCGAAAAAAGCTGTCGTAGTAGATTTCCTTTTAGAAAAGGATTAATCGATTCCTCCTGCGCTGGGGGGTATTATATACTGTCCAGGCCCCTCCCCCCCCCTCTCTCTGTACGCAATATCCTAAAAAGAAAATAAATTTACCGCATTTACCGGATGGAACCAAATAGAAAATATACAAACATTTCGGGCAAGGGCGCAACATCAGAAGGCAGGGAAGGGGTGGGGGCTATGGAATACTCCCCAGGAAATGAATATTTCATTTAATTTTTCCAAAAATAGCTCTCGTGGTAGTTTTTTAAAAAAGGATTATTCGATTATTTCTCCTGTGCTGAGGGGTTTTCCTCCCCATACCATTCGATACCCCCCGGTGCTACGTCCTCACTCGAAATGTCTTTGTCTTTTCCGAAGATATTTAATACAGAGTGTTTTAAGAGGGGGTGGTAGTAGCTCCGGGGGGTCATGGAAAAGTAATATTTAATGAAACTTTCCCGAAAGTAATCGGAAATGAATTAATTTCAAATTCGCAATATCGGTATTGCTTCGTGGCTAATGGCTGCTTTAGACAAGCACGTCTACATCGTTTCCGATAAAACTTTATCCACGGCAATTTTGCACGAAACGCGAACGTGTCTGTATTAGGTTTTCCAGAACCGTCGAAGCCATGCGTCTACTATTTGGACTTCTACTAGCCGTGAGCGCCGAGGTAACTCGCATTTTACATATCGCAAAAGTATTACCATCATTTTTTCCAGGAAACGTACAGCCCCAACTGGGACACACGCCAGGAAATCATGTCCGTGTCGTTTTCCGAGTGCGTCTGCGCGAGCGGCGTCGACGTCGCGCTCGCCGAAAAATGGCTCAATCGTGTCGAGTTCTGCAACGATCCGTGTTTTAAGTGCTTTTTAAAGTGTCAGTATCTTCGCGCGAATTTTATGTTCCCCGATGGCACCCAAAACGTAGAGCGGTTGGTGAACAGCTACGACCACGTCTATGCAGACTCCATACGCGCATGCGCTAACAAAACTATCACTTTGGATTTATGCGAACGGGCCTACGAGGTGGGACAATGCATAGTACAGGTGGTGTTGGGAACCCATTAAATCTTCTGCAGCAACTGGAACTCATACGAACGTTGTATACTAATTGAGTTAACAATAAAACGATTTCTTGGGCACTACATAAATAATTAGCTCCAATGACGTCAAAGCGTATAGTAGAAAGCACTGATTTTGATACTATCAGACAGACAGACACCTGCCCAAACAGAACAGCTAGGTATTGCGTACAAGGAGAATTAGTGTACGAGATTGTATTTCTTCTCCCAATTTATTTAATTTAATTGCAGCATGTATTCCCTATCAGAAGAGCAGGGTGTGCAAAAGGATATTTTTCATATTAGTCGGGATACATTATACCTCATTTTAATTTGTTCCAACGTTTGTATTAGGAGAATATTATCTGCAAGGAGATGTTTCTGGTACTGTAAGTAAAATGTCATGCAACTTCTTTTGCATGAGGAGCAGAAACACCCCCTCTCGTACATTACGTACCTATCAATTATGAAAGTCAAAGTACTAGAAAAGAGAAAGGATACTACATTGGAAGAGCTTTCCGCACATTCCGTTCTCCACTTGTGAGACATTCCATGAAACTTTACTTTCAATTAATAATAGACCCCCCCCCAAATTACATATGCTCCTAGTACATTAACTAATGTACAAACCAGAGGCTTGGGACATTAAAATTCTCGCCTGCTGTTGTCCTAATAAGATAAGGTTATTTTTAACCTACATTGGAAGCATTCGATACTTAGTGGGAGGGGAGGGGGGGGGCTAATGTGGTCGCCCAGCATACAAGAATTTTATTACGTTTTCGCGGATTATCATGAGAGTGCAAGGGGAGAGAAAGAACTATCAAACCCGCTATTTGCCCAGGGTACTACCACTCTCTCTGCTTGGGGGGGGGGGGGCTTATTTATCAAAAACGTTTAGCTGCACGCCAAAAAATGTGCAGTCCTCATAACTTTCGTGATACTTTTTGAGAAAGAACGTAGCAGTGTGATAGGGGGGGGAGGGGGGGGATATGAACATTCGGTAACCTTCTTTTGAAGGCTACCGTTAACAGTGTAAGGGTAATAGGAAAAAGTCCTCGTTTAATATGCAAGGTCGTACAAATATAGTCCTAGGAAAAAGGCAACCGAATCTTCGTATGCTGAAGGGGTCCATTCCCCTCAGACCCCCCGATGCACGCCAAAAATGTTCAGTCCTCAGAACTTTAATGGTACCTACTATTTGGGGAAGGACTTTCGTGGTCTGGTGGAGGGGGGGGGGGTATTCCAATACCCCCAGCATATGAAGATTCAGTTACCTTCTTTCGAAGGCAGCGCAGAGTGCAAGGGGAATAGGAAAAATTGAATTGAAAAGTCCTCATGTGGGGTCGTTCAAGGATAATCCTTGGAAAAAGGCAACCGAATCTTTGAATGCTGGTGAGTATTCCAGATCCCTCAGTTCTTTCCCAAAATTTATCCCAAAAGTCTTGAGGACTGACCATTTTTTCTGATCATCGGGGGTCTGGAGGGTATGGAATACCCCCCCCCCCAGCATAAGAATGTTCAGTCCTCAAGACTTTCCGTGATATTTTTGGGGGAAGAGCATAGCATCGGGGGGTCTTCCACCCCAGTACACGAACATTTAGTTTCCTTTCTTTTGCATTGAATTTAATGTGGAGTTGTCGTACAAGTACCTACAGGCATATGAATAAGGGAAACTGAATCTTGTGCGGGGGGGGGGGGTCCATAGTGCTTACCAAAAATATTGGTGAGGAACGTAAGCACCGGGGGTCGAGCGTTCTAAAAAAACCGCTCGAGCGACGAGCACTCTCATTTTCTCAAAAATGCTCGCGAGCATCGATTACCCAGCTCTGGGCATACCTCATCCTAGCATACGAAAAATCGGTTACCCTCTTTTGAAGGGTATCGTAGCAGTGCAAGTCCTCATTTAATGTGTGGTTGTACAAGTAGATTCTTCGGAAAAGGGCAACCGAATCTTCATATGCTGGGGGGTAGGTTTTCCATACTATCATGAGAGTGTTGAAGGTGAAACTATTTTGAAGAGAAAGGGATGTTTGAATCCCCCCCCCCCCCTGAGCATACACGAAAATTCGATTACCCTTTCGCAAAGACTACCAGGACGTTCTCCTCCTCATGCTGTGAAGTATTCTCGGAAGAATGTAATCAAATTTTCGTTAAATAGTAGGGGGGGGGGGGATTTCCTGTGGCAGTACAAACGTTAGTAGAGCTCAAAATCCAACAAGGCGTTGGCGACGTAGGACATTATAAACAAAACTTCTACCTTGCGCTCTGTTAAAAATCGGAAAGAAACGTCTTCGCACGCACCGTTCTCCTGGCGCAAAAAAAAACGCACAATAGGAATCGATTTCCTTTTCTTGAAAACTACCCTAACAGATGCTTTCGAGAAACGCTCAACAAATCTCTCCTTTCATCATCAAAATATTTGCAGCAGGTGCCATACATTTTTTATGCACGGAAACTCTAAAGGGCGAACATTTTAGGATAACGTAGGGGGGGGGGGGGAGCACAGGACTAGTTTCACTTTTCTCGTGCTACCTAATAAGCTCCTAATAAACGAACCTATGAATGCTGAAGTGCCAAAATCCCAAAAAATATGGGAAATATCTCTTCGGGCGTCCAGTTGGCCAGACCGAAAACGCATGTAAGAAATCTCATAGTTTTTTTTTAAATGGGAGCAGAAGCTCCTCATCGCGAGTAAGTTAAAAATTCCAAAAGGGTACACATTTGAGGTGTTAGAACCTGGGCTGAGGTAAGAATTTTTCATCTGTGGCAGAGGATGGGAATTCCGTAGATCAGTTCCGAGCATTCTGCCGGCTACTCCGAATTAGGTTTTCCTAATTCGAAAGGTAAATACCAAAGTCGCACCTATAGAACAGCAGAGGCCCCTAACAAGAGAGACAATAATAAATCCATTCTAAATAAGTTCACCAGGTCAGTCAAAAAATTGCACCATTGATGCCACGCACTCACCACTTAAGTGATAGTGATCTGGTACGTAAAGTTTCATTTGTAGTGTTCTGAAGATCAACAAAGGACATTGTTTTCAACATCGATTAGTCAGATAACGAAAAATTGCATGACTGCTGCAATGGGACTTACCGCTGAAGTGATAATGATCCGGAACCTGTCGTCATTTACGAACATGCTTCCTCAAAGTGCGACTGTCTACCTGTTTGGAATAATCTATTTACATTACATAAATATTGATCAAGAAAAATTTAATATTAAAACTAGTTTTACAATTTGCGTTAACTTCACGATTGTTAGAGAACCCGGTCGAAAAAAATTGAATATAAACCTAGCCCGCGCCGCCACCTGCCTCCTCCTCGTGGTTCCTAAAGAAGTCGCCCACGGGGAAGAAGTCCCAACAGCGCTGCGTGTACATGTTCCACACGTAAGTCTCCTGTCCCGTGTATTCAGTATCGGGTTTATTAATTAAGTGCATCAAGAAAAACCTGCAAAATCAATCTAGCATTTTCCGAAGGACCGGTGAACGTTGACGTACATGTAATTTGCTAAATTATGCTCCTGCTGGACGTGTGTGTCGAATCCGTGAGGGACCTTATCGAAGTTATCCTTTCCCATGCCGCATATAAAGCACGTAGACTCCATCACCTCCTTAACGCTCTCCAATTGGCTACGAAGCTCGCCAAACGCGTCGATAATCAAACCTGAAAGGATAGTAACAGTGCGAATAATCCACTATGCGGAACATACCCTGAATGATGGCAAGCAAGATAATAATGACAAAGAAGAAAAACGTGATATCAAACAAGATTCTGTACACCTCGTAGTCATCGCCATCGGGCGGCTCGATTTCATCCCCAATGCCACCCCCGGCGCGTACACCTTTATACAAATGGAAGACAAAGCACTACAAAATGCGAGTTAGCTCCACGTGGCGCTGCGAATAATCGAGTTACCGTAAGCATGTTGTGGCACTTCTTGTCGACTTCCTCGTCCTCCTCCTGAACGTAAAATTTGCGGAAGAAATTAAACGCGATCACCGTGTAAATGTAGACGATGATAGTTAGCAGCATTACGGTGAGAACGAGCTGTTTTCCGTTGTGCGTTACAGACTGCAAGATCGTGCGAAGGGTTTTAAAGCCGACGGCAACGTCGAGGAGATGGGCGGCGAAGAAGAACAAGTTGTAATTCCCCAAAATGGAGAATATGAAGTAGAAGAGGGAGTAGAGGAACGAGTTGTCGGTGATCGTAACTCCCGCCTTCCAGATCTGATATCGCCAGTCAATGTTGAGAATACTAAAAAAAGTGGGTGGTTAGAGGTCGCCACTAACGCAGGGGATCGCATTACAAGTAGATCACGCTGGTGCTCTCCTGAGCTTCGGTTTGCATGAAAGTCGTCTTTTCCATCCCCAACAGGTTACTGATCGAATCGAAGTCGTAGCTCTCGCTGTACTTCTGTCGCACTTTCTTCTTCACAAACTTATCCCAGTAGTTCACGGGGAACGACCTGAAATTTCGACTCGTAGTAAAACAGTTCGGGATTCTCCGCGAGAATTACTTTGCCGAAATCACCAGCTTGTCCCAGTGAGAATTGAGATCGTCATCCTCCGGCTGCTCGGCAATATACAGACCGTCGAACTCGAGGCGTCTCGCAATCTCTTTCTCTCTCTTAAATATCGCTAGCGGTATCTGAAAGCAACCGGCTCGAAAGATCGGCTCGTCGCAAGGTCGTTACCTTTAAATTGTAGTAGGCGACCAGCATCGAAAATGAGACTAAGGAATGCAGAAATGCGGCGAGACGCATCACGTGCTCGATGTAATAGAAGTCCTCGTCAACGTGCACTTTCTCCGGTAGATCGTCCTCCTCGCTCGACCCGCCGCCCGATCCCGATCCACTACCCTCGCCGGACCCAATCAAATCGGCCTCCTTGCTACCGCTACCTTCCCCGTCCACTCCCAGAGTGGATACCTTGTAGAACAACAGCATGAAGTTGATACAGAAGGCCAAAACCAACGCGACGTATTTGAGATTGTAAAAGTTACGCGCGAGAAACGAGACCGCCCTCTGGCCGTAACCGCTCAGATTGATCTGCGAAACGGCCGCCTTCTCCACGACACTCTCCTTCTTCTGCTCCAATTCGATCGCTTGCATTGCGGCCTGCTGAGCCGCCTGAGCTTCGGCTTTCTCTTGAGCCGCCCGCTTAACGGCGTCCCCTCTAAAGCATACGGTTACTAGGTACCAAACGCGCCTCTGAGAGTTACCCAAGCAAGTCCGATAGAGACACGGGCGATTCCGCTTCGGTTTCGACGCGAGTCTCGCCGCCATCTTCGGGCGTCGTCTCGCCCTCTCCTTCCGGACTGGAAGGCGTGGTGCTGGTGGGCGACTCGTGCGGCGCCATCTTGTACCTATCGAATAATACTATCACCTCACTTATTACCACACGCCTACACTAAACAAAGTACTCACCATCAAGCACCAATCTACCGAAAGGAAATTAAGCAATCGCGCAACTTGCAACGATAAAAAAGACACTTACTGCCCACCCTCCTCCTTGGTGATGTCCAAACCGAACGCCTGCATTTGCGTGTTTTGATCGTCGGCCGCGGCGGGTAGCGCCGGAAGCACGCGCATGTGGCCGACCTTCTCCTCGTCCTTCACCTCGACGACCGGCTCCTCCTGCTGAGGTCCGCGCATCAGCGACATCAGTATGTGGACGAGATACCTGCGGATCGCAAAAATCGACAACGGTCCCGCGAACGCGTAGGAGGCCACCTACCGCAAGATGATCGAGACGCCGTAGCCGGAGTAGTAAAAGGCGAAGAAGATCGTTTTGAAGAATCCGATGAACAGTTCGGGCACGCTCATGTGCTGCATCTCGTTAAATTTGTGCTTAATGTTGGAGGGACTGAGGGAGGACAGTCCGTACTTGATGCCCTCCTTGAGCGATTGGTAGCCCTGACGAATCGGATCGCGACGTCTGTAATCATTTGCGACGGTTAGTGGTCTGGTCGAGTGAGGAAGGGGGGGGGGGGGGGGTATGGAATTCTCCCCACCCTACCGTACGAACATTTGATTCCCTTCTCGCAGATTACCATCAGAGTGCGAAAAAGAACGACCAAGTCCTCCTTTTTTGTGATCGCCCCCCCCCCCCCCCCCGATCGTACATTCTCCTCGAACAACATCAATTTAGTTTAAAAACAATGCAAGAGGAAAGGAAGATTCGACGGTTTTTTCACAAAAATTATAATGAGTGTTAAAGGTTGAGGTATTTTGAAAAAGAACGTAATACCGGGGGTCCATACCCCCCCCCCCCCCCAGCATACGAAGATTTGATTACCTCTTTGCAGATTACCATGAAAGTGCTAGAGGTAAAAGGGAAAGAAATTTCGCGCCACCCTTTGCCAAGAGTACTTGATGGGGGGTATTCCATACCTCCCCGACCCCCTCCCTAATACGTTTTTTTTTTCAAAAACGTTGAGCCTTCTGACGAAAATATGCGAGATAGCTCTACGATCCTGATGAGCAGGTTAAATGCTGAGCAGTTTTGGAGTACGTACCACCGGAGGGTCTGGGGGTATTCCTCCCCCAGCAAGTACTCTTGGAAAAGGATGGCTCGAAATATTCCGGCTTGGAGTAATAGAGAAAGAACGATCAAGTCCACCTTTTTGCCAAGAGCCCCTTTCTCCAGACCCCGGTATAACGTTCTTTTTCAAAACCGTTTATCCGTTTACACTTTAATGGTGAGTTTTTTGCTTGTATTAAAGGGGGGAGAGTCTGGGGGGTATGGAATACCCCTGGCATACGAACATTTCATTTCCTTCTCGCAGAGTGCTAGGGGTAAAAGAAAAACGTCTATAGTGTTAACACTCACACGATAGTTTAGAGACAAGGCAAAAGGAAAGGAAGATTCGACTGTTTTTTTCACAAAAAATATCATGAGTGTTAAAGTCTGAACGATTTTGAACAACGTAATACCGGGTGATCTGGGAGAGAGGGGGGGGGGTCTGTAATACTTCTGAGCATACGAACATTTGATTACCTTTTCGCAGATTGCCATGAGAGTGCTAGTAATAGAGAAAAAAACGCTCAAGCTCTGCTTTTTGCCGATGGTCCTCTTTCTGCTGGGAAGTGTTCCATCCCCCCAGACCCCCGGTAAAACACTTCCCTCAAAAATCGTTTAGTGTTAGCACTCTTATCATGAGAGTGTTGAAGGCCGAGCGATTTTAAAAAGAACGTAATACCGGGGGGGTCATAGGTTTCTTTCCAAAAACGTTTAGCCCTCTCACGATAATTTTCGAGACCATACCCCCACCCCCCGGTCATACTTTTTTGCGAGCGGTTCTGAAGAAGAACGTACCACCGGGGGGTCTGGGGGGTATGGAATACCCCCCAGCAAACACAAAAAATTGATGACCATATTTCGCTAATACCATGAGGGGACTAGGGGTAATAAAGAAAGAACCTTCGAGCCAGCCTTTGCCAAGGGTAATTGCTGGGGGGTGTTCCATACCCCCAGACTTCCCGGTCATACGTTTTATTCCAAAACGTTTAGGTTTTGAAGAAGAACGTATCACCGGGGGGTCTGGGGGGTATGGAATACCCCCCAGCACATACCCCCCAGCAAACACAAAAAATTGATGACCATATTTCGCTAATACCATGAGGGGACTAGGGGTAATAAAGAAAGAACCTTCGAGCCAGCCTTTGCCAAGGGTAATTGCTGGGGGGTGTTCCATACCCCCAGACTTCCCGGTCATACGTTTTATTCCAAAGCGTTTAGGTTTTGAAGAAGAACGTATCACCGGGGGGTCTGGGGGGTATGGAATACCCCCCAGCAAACACAAAAAATTGATGACCATATTTCGCTAATACCATGAGGGGACTAGGGGTAATAAAGAAAGAACCTTCGAGCCAGCCTTTGCCAAGGGTAAATGCTGGGGGGTGTTCCATACCCCCAGACTTCCCGGTCATACGTTTTATTCCAAAACGTTTAGGTTTTGAAGAAGAACGTATCACCGGGGAATCTGGGGGGTATGGAATACCCCCCAGCAAACACAAAAAATTGATTACCATATTTCGCTAATACCATGAGGGGACTAGGGGTAATAAGGAAAGAACCTTCGAGCCAGCCTTTGCCAAGGGTAATTGCTGGGGGGTGTTCCATACCCCCAGACTTCCCGGTCATACGTTTTATTCCAAAACGTTTAGGTTTTGAAGAAGAACGTACCACCGGGGGGTCTGGGGAGTATGGAATACCCCCCAGCAAACACAAAAAATTGATTACCATATTTCGCTAATACCATGAGGGGACTAGGGGTAATAAGGAAGGAACCTTCGAGCCATCCTTTGCCGAGGGTAATTGCTGGGGGGGGGGGGGGGGTCCATACCCCAGACTTCCCAGTCATACATTTTATTTCAAAAACGTTTAGGTACACGAACATTTCATTACCTCTTTGCAGATTACCGTGACAGTACTAGGGGTAACAGAGAAAGAACGATCAAGTCCTCCTTTTTGCTGATCGTCCTCCCTGCTAGGGATTTTGAAAAATAACGTAATACTGGGTGATCTGGGGGGGGGGGAATACCCGTGAACATACGAACACTTGATTACCTGCTCGCAGATGCTAGTGATAACAGAGAAAGAGGTCCTCCTTTTAGCCGAGGGTACTCTCTCTGTTTTGGGGACGGGGGGTATTCCCCAGGGAACATTCGACTGTATTTTCCCAAAAAATGATCATGAGAATGTCAAAAGCGCGTCCTTTTGCGCCATCGGATAATCCTTGACGCCTCCCGATCCCGTGGATCGAGCACAGGATAAGGAAGATTTACCTTGTCTCGTCGTCAACCCTTGGATAACCGCTGTAGCTTGCCGCACGTTGCTGTCCCCCACCGCCGGAATCCTCCACGGCCATAAGCGCGTTCGCGTGCTGCATTTCAAAAATCGCATCCTCGCAAAAATTGATGAACGCCTCAAGCTTCTCCTTATCCCCGCCCTCGGTGACAATCGAGTAGAAGAACGCTCGCTTCGATTCCTGCAAAGAAAAAAGTTCCCAAGACCCACACCTCGCTAAAAACAACGCACCTTAATCTGCGGCTTCTCCCACTGCTCGATGTTCGACTCCTTAATTTCGAAGTAGACCCTTTCGATGCGCTTGCTGCTGCCCATAATTTCGATGCGACCGAGGAACGCCTGGAAGTAATTGAGAACCGACGCCGCCGCCTCCAGGAACTTCGCCAACCTGTAAATGGAACGTGAGAGAAACCGTTCGTATTACGCGAACTACCTCGGATCGTTGGGCATGTGCTCGCCGAGGTTCGTCAGCAGCACGGCCAAGTTAAAGCCGATCTCTTTCGCCGGCTCGTGGAACCGGTCCATAAACCCGACGTAGTCGAGCTTACCGTCGTGGTTGACCTCGCAGCACATCAGCAGGAACTCGATTTCGTCCCTAGGGGGTAGAGAGTGAACGCAACTGTTAAATTGGACGGGTGTAACATACGCAGTGTAGGATTTCTGCTGTTCCATCTTCTCCTTAAAGTCCTTGAGGTAGACCCATCCGTCGTTGTTGATGTCGATCTCGTGGAAGTTGGGGGCCGACGTTAGATCTTTTAGCTTGAGGAACATGTCGAAGTACTTCAGTATCAGCTCGAAGTGCTGCGAGTTCTCGACCAGCGTCTCGACCATCTGCTTGCCGATCGTGCCGTTGATGACGTTTCCCTCGAGCATGGACAGCATCATCGTGATCATGTCCTTTTGCAGGTTGAGAAGCTCCTTCAGCAGATCTACTTGACTGGAATGTTTCGATAGCTTGTCTTGCATGTGCGAGAAGAGGAAGACGAAACCGCCTACGGCATCCCACAGTCTGGAATGTGCCAAAGTCTGCTGATTTAGCGTACACGGGCCTTGGATAACTTCGGTGAGCGTGTTGAAAACCTGGCTGGCGACGGCGATCGCCTTAAAGAAGTTCGCTTTGCCCGCGGGGTCAATCAGCTCCTTGCTCGAGTAGTGCCAGTAGAAGTCCATGATTGACTCTTGTAGTCGGAGTAAGTAATCGACAGTGCAAATGACCACGTTTACAGTCGTCGTGTTTCCGGCTTGGGTCCTCAGATAATTCTGCCACTCCAAGTTGTGACCTTCACATGTGAGTTGAATGAATCGAAACAGGGCGCACGTGAATTCGGCGTCGTGCATATTCTTCTCTCCTGCCGCTCCTAGGAGAACAACATCAGATCGTGAGACTCGCACGAATCAAACTTTACCTTCAGATCCCACGCCGAGTCCCTCGGCCTTCGTGTTGCGCTCGAACGCGTCCAAGTCGAGCACGCTGCAGCTGTTCATCAATCCGGCGATACTCGTGAAGAAACCGACATCTTTCTTCTCCTGAAGATGGTCGATCATCGCCTTCTGTATGTCGGTGTTGCCGCCACGCAGAACCGCAATACCGAGCGTAAGCGTTTGCATGACCATCTCCGACGGAACGCCTTTACAAGCGGAAATGTTTAGCAAAACCATTTCGGAAACGCCACGTTTCGCCAGTCTGGCTTGGTGGAAGAGCAACTTTTGTTTTTCCATCTCTTGCTCCTAAAGTCGCCAAAGCAAAGTTAGTGGGCCGAAAACGGAACACACAAGTCTGTTGTAGAAGGAATCTGATATAGGTAACTTAGTAGGCGTCTAAAACAGTTTCAAATTGTACCAGTTTCCCTTTACATGAGAACCTAGAAAGACTCTATATTTCAAGGAGAAAATTTCAGTATCAAAAAACGTCCTACTACTGCCAAACGAGCTAACAGAGTAAAAGTATTAATTCCTCGAAGTCAATTTCTTACTAGAGATCTTCGTTTAAGTGATTTATTGGCCATATATCCCCATTTTATTGTGAATTAGAGTACCGCTACCGTAGTCTATTTCCAAGTTTATTGTGTGCTCTCAAATACAGGGTGATTCCTATAGTACCTGCCACCGTTTGGGAGCGTGTAGGTGGTGCGTAGGGGAGTATTTTGATATAGGACACTTGGGGTCGGATATCTAAAATAAGGGTGCCAGAGCCAAATTTACCTTCTGGAATTTCGCGCCTGTAGGTAGGCAACCCAACCGGCCGGCGGTGCACACGGAGCGATCTCAGCCGGCGATGTGTGGCTGACACTTGATCAGAATTTTGTTTAAACCCACGAAATCCCGTCTGCAACGACGCGTATCAAGTGAATAAACACTATGGCAATAGTATAATAATTAGTTGGCTAGATGTAGGAAGTGCATTGAGAACAACGGTGGCCACGTTGAACACTTGTAAACGTTATTGCTTTTGACTGTCGTTTTCCCTCCTTCCCTCCCATGTCGCTTCCTCGCGCTAACTCGCTCTGCATCGCTCCGCGCGAAACGTCGGTCGGTTGGGTTGGCTACATACAGGCGTGAAATTCCAGAAGATAAATTTGGTTCTGGCGCCCTTATTTTAGATTTCCGACCCCAAGTGTCCTATATCAAAATACTCCCCTAGGCACCCCCTATACGCTCCCAAGCGGTGGCAGGTACTATAGGAATCATCCTGTATATGAAATGAACGTCGTTTTCGTAGCTAGGAAAGTTGAGATTTGGGTAATGTTGTGGAACCTATCTAATTAATTACTCAATAATAATTGGTCTATGACAAATTTTGTAATTTTCAGGACGTTTCTTCTAGTTCAAATTTACTTATTAATTAGGTACTGTTGCATTTCCTGATACAATTTGTAACACGTACATTTATCACACACGAACGTTAAATATCTTATCTCCAGCTCGGCGTCGATGTTGGAACTCAACTTAAACACGATTCAATTTGCTTATTTGGCAAACAAAGCAGTTATATAACATATTCGAATCAACACATCACATATCCTTGAAAATATGAGTCATGTACGCTTTTATTTATTACCGTCAGTGACTAATCCTTTAGATGGCGATCTAATACTCTGGAATATTACCTACATTTACTTTGACTGCGCTACTGAGCCTTAGCAGTTTAAAACTTTGCCAGCACCCCCCCCCCCCCCCCCCCCTAGCATACGAACACTCGATTACCCTTTTGCAAAAATTAACCGGAGAGCGTTAGGGATGAAATAAAAAGAACTATCAAGCCCTTCGTTACCAAGAGTGCTTCCATAACCCCAACCCCTCGGTATTATGTTCGTCAGTCGATTTTGAGAATGAACTTGCGGACGATACTTACTACTGGGGGGTATTCCATACTCCCCAGACCCCCCGGTACCATATTCGACTGTCAATTCCAAAAAACGATCACGAGTGTTGAAGTCTGATCGATTTTGAGAATGAACCAAGTACCGGGTGGTCTGGGGGATATGGAATACCCCCCAGCAGCAAGTATCCTCGGCAAAGAAGGACTCTCGATAGTACTTTATATCTCACCCCTAACACTCTCTCCGAATAGCCTTTGTGAAAAAGTTACATTTCATATGCTGGGGGGTATTCCATACCCCCCAGACCCCCCGGTACTTGGTTCATTCTCACAATCGATCAGAATTCAACACTCATGATCGTTTTTTGGAATTGAAAGTCGTATATGGTACCGGGGGGTCTGGGGGTTATGGAATACCCCCCAGCATACGAAAAGATAATTACTTTGATAATTACTTTTTCGCAAGGACTATCAGGAGAATGCTAGGGATGAGATATAAAGAACTATCGTGAGCCCTTCTTTGTCGAGGATTTGCTACTGGGAGGTATTCCATACTGGGGGGCATTCCACACTGGGGGGTATTCCATACCCCCCAGACCCCCCGGTACCATGTTTGACTGTCAATTCCAAAAAACGATCATGAGTGTTGAAGTCTGATCGATTTTGAGAATGAACTTAGTACCGGGGGGTCTGGGGGGGATGGAATACCCCCCAGCATACGAAAAGATAATTACTTTGATAATTACTTTTTCGCAAGGACTATCAGGAGAATGCTAGGGGTGAGATATAAAGAACTATCGTGAGCCCTTCTTTGTCGAGGATTTGCTACTGGGAGGTATTCCATACTGGGGGGCATTCCACACTGGGGGGTTTCCATACCCCCCAGACCCCCCGGTACCATGTTCGACTGTCAATTCCAAAAAACGATCATGAGTGTTGAAGTCTGATCGATTTTGAGAATGAACTTAGTACCGGGGGGTCTGGGGGGGATGGAATACCCCCCAGCATACGAAAAGATAATTACTTTGATAATTACTTTTTCGCAAGGACTATCAGGAGAATGCTAGGGGTGAGATATAAAGAACTATCGTGAGCCCTTCTTTGTCGAGGATTTGCTACTGGGAGGTATTCCATACTGGGGGTATTCCATACTGGAGGGTATTCCACACTGGGGGGTATTCCATACCCCCCAGCACCATGTTCGACTGTCAATTCCAAAAAACGATCACGAGTGTTGAAGTCTGATCGATTTTGAGAATGAACTTAGTACCGGGGGGTCTGGGGGGTATGGAATACCCCCCAGCATACGAAAAGATAATTACTTTTTCACAAGGACTATCAGGAGAATGCTAGGGGTGAGATATAAAGAACTATCGTGAGCCCTTCTTTGTCGAGGATTTGCTACTGGGGGTATTCCATACTGAAGTTGATGTCTGATCGACTTTGAGAATGAACGTAGTATCGGAGGGTCAATCCCCTCCCCCCAGTATACGAAAAGGTAGGGGTGAAATAGAAAAAACTACTCAGCCCTCCTGTGGCGGACGTACTTTACTGTTTGCTGTGGGACTATGTTCGTCTCTCGTTAGAAAAAACGATCATGAGTGTTGCAGTCTGAGCGATTTTGACAATGATTTAGTACCGAAGGATCAATAGCCCCCCCCCCCCCCATATGCGAAAAATTAATTACCATGACGCACAGACTACCAGAGTGCTACAGGTGAGATAGAAAGAACTATCGAGTCCTCCTTCGGTACTAAATCATTGTCAAAATCGCTCAGACTGCAACACTCATGATCGTTTTTTCTAACGAGAGACGAACATAGTCCCACAGCAAACAGTAAAGTACGTCCGCCAATTTGCACAATTTAAATAAATTGATTCCCCCCCCCCTCCCCCACCTGCGAAGGCGGCCGTCATTAGCGATACTGGTATAATAAGAATCTGTTAGAGAAGGCAATTGATATCAGCTTCCCTATGCAACAGAAGAACAAAAGACAACCTACCATCAATCTATTAATCGGCATAATCCGCTAAGCATGTGAATATTCCGATAACAAATGATCGGCAAGCGACTAGATTTTACTTACGTGAATCGACGACGTCGGATCTTCCCCCTCGCCGCCTCCCTCCTCCTCGCCCTCCTCCTCTTCCTCCCCGCAAGATTTCGCGATGATCTCCGCGTACGTCAGTACTCCTCCTGCAGACTTCAACACTCCGTCATGGCGCTTGGAGAAGTGGAACAGCTGCTGGCGGATGGAATGCCCCCTGTCCTCCCCTCCTTCTTCTTCCGCCCGTCCTCGAACCTGCGTCAGATCTTCGATGAGCACCTCCTGCCCGACGTTCTCGTCTTGCAGCCACAGCTCGTGGTAAGTGTGTGCGAAAAATCGCCCATAAAAACGATCATGAGTGCGATCAAGGAGTAATTATCTTTTACAAAGTATCGCTGGGGGGTATTCCATACCCCCCAGTACAATCCACACCGGTACTAAGTTCATTCCAACCAGACCCCGGTACTTGGTTCATTCTCAAAATCGATCAGAATTCAACACTCATGATCGTTTTTTGGAATGGAAAGTCGTATATGGTACCGGGGGGTCTGGGGGGTATGGAATACCCCCCAGCATACGAAAAGATAATTACTTTGATAATTACTTTTTCGCAAGGACTATCAGGAGAATGCTAGGGGTGAGATATAAAGAACTATCGTGAGCCCTTCTTTGTCGAGGATTTGCTACTGGGGGGTATTCCATACTGGGGCGTATTCCATACTGGAGGGTATTCCACACTGGGGGGTATTCCATACCCCCCAGCACCATGTTCGACTGTCAATTCCAAAAAACGATCACGAGTGTTGAAGTCTGATCGATTTTGAGAATAAACTTAGTACTGGGGGGTATGGAATAACCCCCAGCATACGAAAAGTAACTTTTTCACAAAGACTATTCGGAGTGTGTTAGGGGTGAGATATAAAGAACTATCGAGAGCCCTTCTTTGCCGACGATTTACTACTGGAGGGTATTCCATACTGAAGTTGATGTCTGATCGACTTTGAGAATGAACGTAGTATCGGAGGGTCAATCCCCTCCCCCCAGTATACGAAAAGGTAGGGGTGAAATAGAAAAAACTACTCAGCCCTCCTGTGGCGGACGTACTTTACTGTTTGCTGTGGGACTATGTTCGTCTCTCGTTAGAAAAAACGATCATGAGTGTTGCAGTCTGAGCGATTTTGACAATGATTTAGTACCGAAGGATCAATAGCCCCCCCCCCCCCATATGCGAAAAATTAAATTACCATGACGCACAGACTACCAGAGTGCTACAGGTGAGATAGAAAGAACTATCGAGTCCTCCTTTGCAGAGGACACTTTCTCCTTATTCCAATTTGCACAATTTAAATAAATTGATTCCCCCCCCCCTCCCCCACCTGCGAAGGCGGCCGTCATTAGCGATACTGGTATAATAAGAATCTGTTAGAGAAGGCAATTGATATCAGCTTCCCTATGCAACAGAAGAACAAAAGACAACCTACCATCAATCTATTAATCGGCATAATCCGCTAAGCATGTGAATATTCCGATAACAAATGATCGGCAAGCGACTAGATTTTACTTACGTGAATCGACGACGTCGGATCTTCCCCCTCGCCGCCTCCCTCCTCCTCGCCCTCCTCCTCTTCCTCCCCGCAAGATTTCGCGATGATCTCCGCGTACGTCATGTACAACGGATCCTCCTGCAGGGCGCCCGAACACTCCGTCATGGCGCTTCGGCAGAAGGTGGTAACCAGCTGCATTAGCGGATCGGGTTTGCCCTCCTCCTCCTCCTCCTCCTTCTTCTTCCGCTCGGCGTCCTCGAACGACTGCGTCAGATCTTCGATGAGCACCTCCTGCCCGACGTTCTCGTCTTGCAGCCACAGCTCGTGGTAAGTGTGTGCGAAAATGTTGATCGCCCGATGCCTAAAAACGAGCGGCGATGAGTGCGAGCTCGAAGGAGCGCCTAAACGGGGAGGGTGCAACGACGAAAACTAACCTACTCAGCTTATACAAAGGTTGACAACGCAAACACGCCAACGCGGCTCGTTTCCTAGCAGCCTGCAGCACACGCTTCCAATTTCCCGAGTTAGACTTAGACTTAGAAGCCTGTTAGCACAACAATAACACACGGTGAGTCTCGTTAGTCAAACAAGTGACAATCTAGTGCACACAAAAAGAACGCGGCTAACAAGCGAAAACGAACAAACCTGGGCAAACTGTGCAATGAAGCTTGTCTGAAGCAAGAAAGAACTGCACGTTTACGTTGCATGGATACCACGCTGCGATACACCCCTTTCTGCTGCTGTTGTGGGTGGTCAATCTGTGACGCAACAAAAATTTAAATATTCAACTAAAAGAAAACCACCCCAAACTTAACAATCGAACGGCGCGTTACGATTGGAAGAATGGGAGGACTAGGGTGCTCAAATCTACTGCGAGAAGTTGTGTGTGTCCGTTCATCTGCAATCCATATCTTACCATGTGCAATCCGTAGAGCACCTTGCTCATGGCGACGATCCGATCGACCGTCTCCTCCAGCTGCGTCTTCCCGCTGTTGTTGTCGACGCTTCCGACGACCGCGCTCTTCTTGCTGCCCAGTTGACTGTAAAGGTAATGCTGCCATGACATCTCGTCGGCCGGGTCGAGCTTATCGGGTAGAGTCAGCTGGTTCTTGGCAAAGTCTATGATCTCCTGCTCGGGAAGCTTCTGCAAAATGATTCAACGGTTAGGTTCACACGAACGCGAGCGCGCAGTAGCGACCTTCAAGAAGCGATCCTTGCAGTGCTGCACCAGCTCCTGCTCGCGGCCGGCGAACAAATTCAGCCCGACGGGCAGCAGCCTCTTCAGGCACGCGACCATGAGGGACGCCTGCACCTCCTTGTCCTTGTTTCGCTTCTTGTCCCTGTGCTTCTTCTTCTTCACCTTACCGCCGGCCGGCTGGGAGCCGTCCGGTATCGCCGATCTTCTCGTCGCCGTCGGCATTATCAGGATCATGTTGTCGATCTCGTTCGCCGCGATGAAGTTCTGCTCCTCGCGCAGGAAGTACTGCGACTTGGACCATATGTTGAAAATCTCGGAGACGTGGTTGTACAAATCCTCCGCCTCCATGTCGTTTTGACGCAGCCAGTGGTTGCGCTGCTGATCGACGTACTTGATTAGGAGCGGATAGAAGGAGTAGATGTCTCGTACTAGCAGCTGCCAGTCCTCTTGAATTTGTGCCTCGATCTGAAAATGATTCGGGTGCAATTCGTAGAGTCGCGAGGTGACGGCTTTCAAGGTCGGTCTATGTCAAGGCCCACGGGTACTTGGGGCACCCCCGCGTTATTATAAAAAATAATAGAAATAGGACGAGGCGTAGAAAGTGTAAGATTCCTGAACGTAATCCAGACCCAAGCCTAAGTAGGATTTTTCGGAACCCCAGCAGTTCATAAAATCCTACGATTCCCAGGAATTCAAGAAATCCAAGCGATTCAAAAAATTTTTGAGTTCAAAAATAAATCAACAAATCTAAAGAATTTAAGGAATCCCGGGAGTTCATGAAATCATAGGATTCTTAGGAATCGAATAAATCCCAAGAATCCAAGGCATTCAAGAAATCCAAAGAATCAAAAAAATGAGTATTTTAAAAATGTGATCAATTTGGTAAATAAAAAAAAATAAATTAAGGAATCCCGGAAAAAATGTGATAACTCTTAAAAAGAAATCTAAAGAATCTAAAGAATCAAAGGAATACAAAGAATCCCAGATCCTCGTACGAGAGTGCTTTCCCAGGAATTCAAGAAATCCATGGATCCAAGGAATCCGAAGATCCAAAATTTTTGAGGATCATGGAAAAGTGATAAATTTGAAAAAATGTCAAACAATCTAAGGAATTGAAAGAATACTTTAAATTCCAGGAATCCACACAATTCGAAAATCTGACAGATTTTTTAGCATCATAAACGTGATCAATTAAAAAAAAACTAAATATTCTACGAAATCGAAGGAATCCCAAGATCCAAGGAAATCAAGAAATACAAGGAATCCGAAAATCCAAAAGACTTCTGAGTAATAAAAATGTGATTAATTTTAAAAAGGAATCTAAAGGATCCAAGGAACCCTAGGAAACAAAAAAATTAAGGAATCCAAAAGACTTATGACCATCATACAAATGTTATAAATTTGAAAGATAAATCAAAATTCTAAAAAATTTAAGAAATACAATTAATTCGGAGTTCGTGCATGGAATCCCACGAATCCAAGCAATTCCAAAAACCCAAGGAATTCGAAAATCCTAAAATATATCAAAAATTCTAAAGAATGGAATAAATCCCAAGAATCCAAGGAATTCAATAAATCCAAAGAATCAAAAAGATTTCTGATCATCTTAAAAATGTGATGAATTTTACAAAGGAAACAAGGTAATTCCAGGAGTCCATGAAATCCAGGTAGCCCTAAAAATCTCAGGAATCAGAAATCCAAAATACTGAGACTTGAGCATCATAAAAAGTGATAAATTTGGAAAATAACTTAAAGAATCCCGGAAGTCAATAAAATCCATGGAGCCTTTGGAATCCAAAGAGTTCAAGAAATCCAAAAATCCAAGATTTGTGAGCGTAATAAAAATGTGATAGATTTTAAAAAAGAATCTAAGGAATCCAAGGAATGTTAGTATACCGTGATATCCTAGAAATCAGAGGAATCCAAAAATTAAAAAATCCAAAGAATCCGCACATCCCAGATAACTGAGCATATTGAAAATGCAATACTTTTAAAATATATATCGAAAAATCTAAAGAATGGAAGGAATCCAAAATATCCTAAGAATACGAAAATCTAAAAGATTTTTGAGCCTCCTAAAATTGGGATAAATCTTAAAAATAAATCTAAAAAATTTAAAGAATCAAAGGAATACAAAGAATCTCAGGCCTTCCCAGGAATTCAAGAAATCCATGGATCCAAGGAATCCGAAGGTCCATAAGACTTTTTAGGATAAATTTGAAAATAAAGTCAAACAATCTAAGGATCCAAACAATTCGAAAATCTAACAGATTTCTCAGGATCATAAACGTGATCAATTTGAAAAAAAATCTAAGAAAATGAAGGAATCCATGAAATCCAAGGAATTCAACAAATACAAAGCATCCGAAAATCCAAAAGAATTCTGAGTAATAAAAATGTGTTTAATTTCAAAAAGGAATATAAAGGATCCAAGGAATCCTAGGAAACAAGAAATTTAAGAAATCCAAAAGATTTTTGAGCATCATACAAATGTGATAAATACAAAAATATTTAAGGAATTTGAAACAAATCTAAAGAAGTCCATGCAATTTATGGCACCCATGAATCCAAGGAGTAAATCCATCGAATCCAAAAATTCAATTGAGCATCATGAAATGCGAAAAATGTGAAAAATATATAAAAAAATGTAAAGCATTTAAGGAATCCCAGGGATTCATGAAATCCACAGAATCTTACGAAGCCCAGGAATCCCAGAAATTTTAGAAATCCATGATGCTCAAAATTCATAGATTTTTAGATTCTTTGGATTTTTTTAATTCGTTTTTATTCGTGGGATTTCTTGGATTCCTTTTTCAAATTCATCACATTTTTATGATGCTCAGAAATTCTGTGGATTTAAGGAATCCCAGGGATTCATGAAATCCACAGAATCTTACGAAGCCCAGGAATCCAAGAAATTTTAGAAATCCAAAAATCTAAGACTTTTGAGCATCATAAAAAAGTGATACATATGAAAAATAAATTAAAAATCAAAAGAATCCCAAGAATCAATCCAAGGATTCTAAAAGATTTCTGAGAGTAATCAAAATGTGGTGAATGTTAAAAAAGAGACTAAAAATTTTATGAATCCAGGAAATCCAAGGCATCTGAAGATCCAAAAAAATTCTGAGCATCATAAAAATGTGATGAATTTGAAAAAGGAATCCAAGAAATCCCACGAATTAAAAAAATCCAAGGAATCTAAAAATCTATGAATTTTGAGCATAATGGAAATGTGATACCAAAACATCTAAAAAATCAAAGGAATCGAAGGAATACCAAGATTCCAAGGAATTCAAGAAATCTGAGGAATACAAAAGATTTCCGAGCGTAATAAAAATAGGATTAATTAAAAAAAGAACCTAACTAAAATCTCTAGGGAATCTCAGCAGTCCACGAAATTCCAGGAATCCACGAAATTTAAGAAATCCAAAAATCTAAGACTTCTGAGCATCCTAAAAATCTGATAAATGTGAAAAATAAATCAAAGAATCTACGGAATCAAAGGAATCCCAACAATCCATGGAATCCAAGGAATTCAAGAAATCCAAGATTTCTGAGCATACTAAAATGTGACGAAGAAATCGAAGGAATTTCAGGAGTCCATGAAATTCAGGGAATCGTAGAAATCGTAAGAATCGAAGAGAATTGCGGAATCCGAAATCCAAAAGACTTCTGAGAATCATGAAAATGTGATAAATTTGAAAACGAGTCGACAGAATCCTAGGAGGTCCAGGAATTCAAGGAATCCTAGGTATCCCAGAAATGCCAGGAATTCAAGAATTCTATGGTGAATCCAAGGAATCGAAAAATATCATAAATATGAAAAAGAAATCAAAAATCTTAAGAATCGAAGGATTCTAGAATTTAAATACTAATCTGAAGAATCCAAAAAATCCGAAGAATCCGCAGACTCCCAAGGATCCAAGGAATCCTCAGAATTTTATGACCTGAAAAATAAAAAAAGACAATCCAGAGAATCTGAAGATTTTGTGTTTGAAGCTTTCAGGATTGGAAATTCGAATGAATTCAATGAAACTGAAAAATTGTAAGAATCATGGATGGACCGTCACATTAACGGGTGACCTTCAAAAGACTGAATTACCTGTGACGTATCGTCGGTGGAGCCCTTAATGAAACCTCGCAAGCTCTCCTCCTTGTGGAACATGGTTTCCGTTCGTTTTTTCACACGTTCGGCTAGGGGCAGGAACGGATCCTTGAGGAGCTCTTCGCTGCTGTTGATTATGATCTGTTGGGTGTAAGCGGCAATGCGGGTCATCCAAGGTGCGCTGTCGTTGCCGATATTCTTCTTGATCAATTTGAGAACGTTCTTCAGCAGCTGATTCATGTGCTCGGCCGTGACCATCGTCACGTGCGTGCTGCAATCGGTTCGGGTTGAGAGACCCTATTGGATTAGGCGCGCAACTCACCCTCCGGTCGGGCTGACGTTGTCGGGCCCTTGCTGCCACCAGAACGGCAGGTAAGAGCAAAGCATCGGCATTATCACGTCGATGATGTGCGGCGCGTCGGCGTACGTCCGATCGCTTTCGACGAACTGATCGACCTCGCCGAGGACCGTCTCGAGGGTCGGCATCGACGTCTCCATTCGCGCCATGATGTCCTGCGCCTCGAGCGAGTGATCGGCGATGCGGTTCAGCAGAGAGAACTGATTGTTCTTGTTGAGGTGGGGCTCCAGGTACGCGACGGGGAAGGTCGAGCTGAACGCGCCGAGACACGAGCCTTAAAATTGACAGGTGTACTCGGGCGAAATCGGCGAGTATACGTACCCAAAGCCGGCTTGTAGCGTTCGATCTCGGTCTTCAGGTACTTGCGATCGTGGGTCAAGGTCGTGTCGGTGCCCAACTGGTAAAGGGCCGACATAATCTTGTAGGAAGCCACTTGGACCTCATCCACTGCAATTGAGAAAAATAATAAAGTACACATCCTTTAATCCCCAATTCTTGTAAAGAACGCCTGTGCAGAAATGACTACTCCCAAAAGCGCTTAAGAAGCTAAAAAATATTGGTCCTTCTTGAGCCGAATCAAACTTCTTTTCGTTGTTTTTCGACATTTACAACAACCAAAACTACTAAATCACAACAATCACATAAATAAACCGAAATTTTACCCAACGGTAAATTTGTGACGGACCTAGTGCACTGTTATCAGCTACATCTGTCGTAAAACTTACACAAGAGGTCCGTGCCGTACTCGCAATTGGCAAGATGATCGAATAACGCCGTTAGGACCGGCATGATCACCGAATTAACGTAAAACAGCGAAGTGGACGTCTTCAGGTGGGTACCGCGCAGATGGCTGTACTTTCCCTGAAACACCAAAGGTCTGTATACGGCCCGGTCACAAAAAGCGTACCTCCTGCAAGTTAACGATGGCGTGCATCAAGTCGTCGGCGGTATTATTGAAGAAGGTCAGCATGGAGGTGCGGATGAACTCGGGGCAGTTTTTGACGAGCGATTTCGCATCGATTCCCTTCACGAGCACCTGAAGGCAACGGACCGTTATACGAACGTCGGCACCGAAGGCCGACAGTCGGCTCCTAAGCAAGCTGGCCAGCTTGCAGAACAGTGCCGCCACCATTTCCTTCTCCTTCAAACTGGCGGCGCTAACGTTGTTGGTCGCGGTCGCGACGGCTATGAAATAGTTGCGATGCGTCGAGAAGTACTTCTCCATCAGCGGCAGGACGACCTTCGAGAAGAAGACGATGTCGCGCGTCGACGTTTTAAAAGTGGAACGTCGACTGAAGATGGCAGACGGCTTCAAAATCTTCATGTTAATCGTGGCGCGATCGGCGTACTGAATCAGCTTCTCCAACAGACTGTAGGCGAACCGAAGTTCGACCGACGGTCCGGTCGCGGTCTTCTCGGTGTCGGTGTCGGTTTCGCGCGAGGGCCTAAACGATCATTAATCCCAAAAAATCTCCTGAACCTACTTACTTGTGCAACTTGTATCCCTGATACTGTAGATATTTCAAAAACTCCTGCGACCTCTCGCGGTCCTTTCGCTTCTCCTTATCCGTGAGCAGGTCATAAGGCACCAGTTGCGGATGTATGCCTCCGCCGCAAGTGATCAGTTCCTCCTTCTTCTTTTTCGCCCAGATATCGTGGGCGTTTTCGGCGAGTCGCTCCGCCATATTTTGCATCTCTCGGGACAGCGTGAGATTGGTCGTGTCGACCGGGTGCGGGTGGTAGTGGAAGGGCGAATTCGACTCGCCGTTCTTCGAGCTTCGACGGATCGAGTTCTTGTTGGTCGGCACGTCCGATTCGGAATGCTCGACCGACCAGCCGATCGCGATTAGGGCCTTCAGCGATTCGCGCACCGGCTCCTTGTAGCGCTCCTTCTCGTAGTCGTTGAGCATCGCGTACGGCTTGAGGCGGGGGTGGGTTTTGTTGCTGTCCGACCACACCTCGCCGTACTGCCAGGAGTTTTCGAACTTACGCGAGGCCCAGGCGTCGTGGTAGTGCTCGGAGAATTTCTGAACGATTTGGTTCAGGTCGTTGTTGAGCTGCACGGACGCGGTATTGATCGGCTGGGGATTGTAGGGGCCGCCGGGACCGGAGGGGCCGCTCGCCGCCGTCTTGCTCGCGTACCACTCGTCGTCGTAATTCTTCGAGAGGGAGTAGTCGGGCGGTAACGCGCAGCCGATCGCGGTCAGACAGGGGAGGGCGCGTCCGAACAGTTCAGGATCGTAGTCCATCTTGCTCAGCGAGTCGAAAATGTTCGAGAACAGCATCATGGTGAGACGTTTTTCTTCGTCGGACGAAGCGCCGTACAATCCCTGGCCGGTCGTCGAGCCGTAGTACTTCGCGCAACGATCGTAGTGCATCGTGAGTAGTCGGAGCGCTACGGTCGTGTACTCGGACAGGTTCGAGACGTCGATGGTCAATTTGCGGAGCAGTTTCAGTAACATCGACGGTTGCATTTGACTAGTTAATGCGACCAGAAAATCGGAGACAGCCTCACGTTGCCCTTTCGTCAACATTCGATTTTTGGAGAGGCGATAAACCGTGTGTAGAGTTGCGTCTAAGATCGACGCGTAGTTTTCCGCTTCGGAGTAGAATTTGCTGTGTTGTATGAGAAGAGGAAGAATCGAGTTACCGATATAGCGATTCATACTTAAAGCCATATCGGACTCGCTACCATCGTTCTGTGCGGCAAAATTGTAATGACAGGATTAGTAAAAGAAGGCGCTTTCATCCCCCCCCCCCCCTTTCATGAATTTATTGTTTCTTTTATTGGAAAGACCTAATCTACAAAAATCGCAACATACCTACATTAAAAAATTGATTATGCGCATGCGCAAACTTTATACCAAGCGCCTTTATGGTATTTCTCAAAAGCAGGCGTTGACTCGCTCGTTAAAGATCGTACTAAAGGCTATTTACGCGGATTGATCAATTCCAGCTCAAAAAAAAAGCCGTTGCCGAACGATTCGAAGGCGAATTCGGCATAAGCCGCGCCAATTTCTTCTAAGTAAAGTGCAAAATGCACGATTGGAGTCTAATTTGTGCCGAACTCAACTTCGGATCGTTCGGCAATTATCGTGCTAGGGGCTATCTACGCGTATTGATCAATTTCACCTCAAAAAAAGCCGTTGCCGAACGAGTCGAAGGCGAATTCGGCATAAGTCGCGCCAATTTCTTCTAAGTAAAGTGCAAAATGCACGATTGCAGTTCTAATTTGTGCCGAACTCACCTTCGGATCGTTGGGCAATTATCGTGCCAAGGTCTATCTACGCGTATTGATCAATTTCACCTCAAAAAAAGCCGTTGCCGAACGATTAGAAGGCGAATTCGGCATAAGTCGCGCCAATTTCTTCTAAGTAAAGTGCAAAATGCACGATTGGCGTCTAATTTGTGCCGAACTCACCTTCGGATCGTTCGGCAATTATCGTGCCAAGGTCTATCTACGCGTATTGATCAATTTCACCTCAAAAAAAGCCGTTGCCGAACGATTAGAAGGCGAATTCGGCATAAGTCGCGCCAATTTCTTCTAAGTAAAGTGCAAAATGCACGATTGGAGTTCTAATTTGTGCCGAACTCACCTTCGGATCGTTCGGCAATTATCGTGCTAAGGTCTGTCTACGCGTATTGATCAATTTCACCTCAAAAAAGCCGTTGCCGAACGAGTCGAAGGCGAATTCGGCGTAAGCCGCGCCAATTTCTTCTAAGTAAAGTGCAAAAAGCACGATTGGAGTCTAATTTGTGCCGAACTCACCTTCGGATCGTTCGGCAATTATCGTGCTAAGGTCTATCTACGCGTATTGATCAATTTCACCTCAAAAAAGCCGTTGCAAAACGAGTCGAAGGCGAATTCGGCATAAGCCGCGCCAATTTCTTCTAAGTAAAGTGCAAAAAGCACTCAACTTCGGATCGTTCGGCAATTATCTACGCGTGTTGTGTGGTAAGATCAAAATTTGAGGAAAATCGACACTTAAGTAAAAAAAATTCTTGATCTTGATCGACTAACCCCACTGTTAACTAGGTTTCGTTACGTACCCTATCAAGCATTGTAGCAGCACGTAAGTCAGGTAGAAACGCTTCTTCGAGGAGCTTAAAGAACAGCTCCTCCGTTTCTATGCCATAGACACGTTCCAAAAACAAGACCACCGATTGCTTATGGGTCGGGACTAAACCTGATGGCATATCAGACTTTGGTCGCTCCTCCCCGGCCGCCGGATTGTGTAGGGTAAAACGCAAACTCAAAACGCCCTGTAGATCTTCCAAAGGTACCAAAGATCTTAGAATTGCTCTAGCCCTTAGCGACTCGTTTTTGCCCTAAAACAATCTTGTAAATTTGCCTATTATTTTGAATTGTGATACCTGCGCAATGACGGCCGCGTCCGGAGCGCAACGGCCCAAAAGGTCAACGAGAGTGCAGTAGAAGTTTAAAATCGCCGCACCGGTGTCGATATAGTCTTCGTCACCATCGCCCTCTGGTAAAGGATGGGCGAAGTGGGAGACGTTAACAGTACCTTCGGCTTCATCCATTAACTTCCTTCTGTCGCTTATACGTTCCGACATCTAAACTGAAGTTAATAAACGGCCCTCGCCGATTCACCAGTAACGTACCTTGTTAGCGTCAATAATCGCTCGCAACAATCCCTCACCCTCCCCTCGCAGTGCAGGCCCCAGACATTCGGGTCGCCGAATCAACAAACGTATAACAAGATTGGCGTTCTCCTCGACACTCTCGCCGTTCACCTAAAAACCCACCACTTAACCAACGCTCGGATTTGTTTCACGTGACCTATACCCAAACGCAAAAGCGGAGAAAATCGAGGTACCTCTCGCCGTCGACCGGATCCCAGCCCAAATCCGGATACCCTCTCTCGACCAAATCAGAATTCGACTGCAGGCCGCAGCGCGACAAATAAATCGCGATCTTCTCCAGGTAATGCTCTCTGTGAAGAAACTGGTTTGGATCAAGTTGAAACGCGAGTTTTGTTACCTGAGTGCGAGCGCGAGCTCCGTGTTTTCCATGAGGGACGAGTATGCGACGTCTAAGGGGGTGGAGCCACGTAAGCTCGGCCGCGAAAGCAGGATGTTGCTGTTGTCCAAGAGGAAGTTTAAGTGCTCGAACATCGCCTTTTGGTTTTGACGGCTCGTGCGGCAGAAGTAGCAAAGGAAACGGCAGCAAGCGACGACCATTTCGTGAGAGGTGTCCTAAAATACAAAGACCGATTTCGGCACGAAGCAATCCACGAGAGACACAAACCTTTTCTTTAACGGCTACATCACCTTCCGCTTGGGGGGCGCTGGCATCGGACTGAGTCTGGGATCGGCGACCTAAAGTGTTGATCATAACCGCCATCACGTTCTCGTGTATACGCAAAATACGGATCAGATCAGGGTGTTGAAAGAACGTATGATTGTTAACCAATTTCCTGCGAGAGAATCAAAAATTACCCACGCTTCACGAGGATCACGCACCATAATCGCTCCCTCATCAACTCCTCCTCCTCCTGCGACATCTGCACCGGCAACAGCGCGCGAATCTGGCTAAGCCCGACCCACATCTCCGCAACGTCGCCCTTCGTTTTCGCGTTGATTATGTACGTCTTTTCCAGCGCGTGGATCAGCTCTCCGATCGAATTGTACTGCCGCACCAGCAGACTGAACATTTCCCTAACCAATTTCGGCGTCTCGATCTGCGCCTCCTCCGCCCAATGGACGATCGTCGAGATTAGTACCTTGCGGAAATTCAGCTCGGGAATCACGTGGGCGGGTTGCTCCTCGGGCTTCGGCTCCTCCTCCAGCTCCTTGACCGCGTTGATGAAATTGTAAAACTTCTTCAGCGCGCCCGGCTTTTGTATGTCGACCGCTTCCTCTTCGGGCACTTGCAAAGCGTGCAGGGACACCTGAGACATGAGCTCCTCGTGGAACTTATTCAACTGCTCGCATAGCTCCTCGCCGATTGGACAATTTTCCCTATCGTCTTCTTCCAAATTTTTGAATCCTGCCAATTGTCGTCGTTACGCAAGAGGTTTAGCTATGTCAGTAGAACAGAGGCACATTCCGCCATCTTGGATTTTGGACCATGGCGTAGCGCGAAGTGTTACTTAACTAAAGCGTCGTCTTGAATGCAACGGAAATTAGAAAGCATTTCTTTTACGAAAAAACAATGACGCAACTAATGAGTGACCTTGTTTTTTAGTGCAAATTCGTAGCAAAGTAAAATTGGTTCTTCTCCTAGCTTCGTGTGGTCACTATCTTGGCTAAAGTAAAATGGATTCTTATCTTAGCTAATGTCTCGTATGGTTTGTATCTAGGATAAGGCAGATTAATGGTTTGTGGTACAAAGTCGTACCCTGGCGAAAAAACCCGGGCACGTAATCGATGATAAAGAATAGTTCTACATACTCGACAAAAGATTTTAAGTTTAATTTCATAACTTGATAAAAATGACACTCACTATTTCGTTTTCAGGAGAAATTTTCTGTTATTTTCTTGATTTATGCCGAACTCGCCTTAAGCTCGCTCGCCATTGGTGTAGAAATTTCTTTAAACTTTTCATTTATGCCGATGCCAAGCGAGCCGAAGGTGCGTTAGGCCACTCCTTAAATTTATGTAACCTTGGTCCAAAATCCAAGATGGCGGAAGGTGCGTCTGCTCTACTTATGTTAGTGTGTACTGGGACATTGATTACAGGATCAAAGGGATTCTTCCTTGATTTTTTGTGGGCACTTAATCCGAAATGAACCCTTACCCAGTATGGCTTTCATCTGCTCCCTGGGCGGACAACGAAACTCCCTCGTCTTTCGAGCCGCGACCGCCGACGGTAAATCCGACTGCTTAATTTCGATGTATCGACGAAGCTGATCGGTTTGCAATTCCCCGACGAAATCGTGACTGAAAGCGATGATATACTCGACCCTGTGTCTCAATTGAACATCGCCGAGATGGTGCAGCAAGTAGCACATTTGCAACTTCGCCCCCTCCGCCATCTTCATGTGCAACAGGCCCTTGCGATGCTCATCTTTTCCATCTACGAGCCCTGCATTACCGAAAGCGCACCGAAACGCACAACTCACCCTTCTCGAATTCGGGATCCCACGTTTCAGGGTGGATCATTACCAGTAATTTTTCGATGTCTTCATCGAGCAGCAGCCCCACGAGCAACAGTCGATCGACGAGTTTCAGTAAAGGCCTAGAATGTGCGTAATTAGAAAGGGGAGATGTAAAGGGGCACCCACAGAAAAAGATTCTCGTTGGAGCCACCGATGGGATCGCGATTGTGCAGCTGGTTAATCTGGACGGCCTCCGCCAGCGCCTGCATGACGTAATTGCGCACCTCCTCGAGATCGAAATATGGCGAGTAGAGCGTCTTGATTTTCTCGATCGTGTCCCCAATTTCGCTCATCTTCATCTGGGGCTTGACCGATACCGTATCGAGCTTGCGCAGACTGTGCCCCATCTCGGGATCCTCGTACAGATCCTTCAGTTCCTGACCCAAGGGGATGACGTACTCGTTCTTGCAGACGTCCCTGAAACAATCGCGTGAGATGCTTGTAGACTAAGTCAAGGTCCTACATGGTCGTCGCCGTCGATTCCAAGTGCAAGGCTATGAGAAGATCGTAGAAGCCCTGCCTCAATGGACCGCTCATGTACTCCGACTTGATCGCGTACAGCAACTGTTTATGATCCACGTGCTTGCAGAGAGTATGCGCGGCGCGATAGTTACTCTGGAAACAGAGCGCCGCGTACAGAGTCAGCGTGTGCGCGTGGAAGCTGAGGAGGCGCTCCATTTCGATCAGCTCCAAGATATCGATGCAACGGTCCTCCTCGGGAATATGCAGCGCTAGCATGGAGACGGGGTCCTCGCACAGCATCGACCAGCCGCGAATGTCGGACAGTTTCAGCGCGTGGACCTGCAGGTTGTTGTTGGGCACGCGAGCCCACTGGTGCGGCTTCAGGCATTGCACTTTGAGACGCGGGGGGAATTGAGGGACGACGTGTCTGGCGCTGTTCTGCAAAATGGCGGCCGAAAGCGGTAACGTGGTGGCGGTTCGGCCCAATTCAATTTGAAGCACCTCCTTGCTAGTCGCCTCGACGAATATGGCGGGGAATAGTTTCGTCTCCGGCTCCATCTACAACGCCAACTTTGAGTTTGATAATAACAGAGAGGGGGGATTACCTTAAATCTGTGCTTGGTTTCCTTCCCCTCGCACGTGAACGAGATAACGCCGGTGGCCGCGTCCAAGAAGCACCCGATAAACATTCCTTGCGAGGCCCCCTTCCCCGACGCGTCCTGCGTGACCTCATTGTAAAGCTCGTCGGCCCGCAGCATGTAGCAGGATTGGCGATCCACGCTGGCAGAAAAAGGTCTTGAACCGGCTCAACAATAAAACTACCCGCTTACCAATCGATGACCCGATCGTAGTCGTCCACGAGTATAACCGACGCTTTCTGCACCTGGTTTTGGTTGAAGTCCTTCGAGTGCAGGTGGTACTGGGTGGTCACCCACCCCACGTAGACGTGCGTAGGGTCCTGGCCCGGAAATATTCGGACACCTTCAAGATTTCGTTAACTCACAAATAGTGTACAGGGTGGCCAAATAAGAATGCGAGGTACTGCATCTGGGAACCTGTCCATCGTAGAGGCTTGTGGTAAAAAAATTTATTACTAAAACGGCCACCTGGAAAATATTTTTAAGTTTCTGCAATGGCCGCTAGGGGGCGTAACTGCAATCTGGAATTTAAAGTCACTAAATATAGAAAGTACCGCAATCCATTGGGCTCGTCTCGTGTGTTAGAGAGAGAACGCATTATTTTTGCCCAAAAATGGCGGAAATTACCAGATTCTAGTAACTTTAATGTTAGGGATTGTTCCACCTGTTTGGAGATATCTGTATATATTTTTATAAAACATGACAGTACTATGAATATTATATATTATAAAAAATGACAGCTATTCAGATTTTATTTGTCAATTTTTTTAAGTTGGCAGCAAATTTGCCCAAAAATGGCGGATGATTGCGGTACTTTCTATATCTAGTGACTTTAGATTCCAGATTGCAGTTACGCCCCCTAGCGGTCATTTCAGAAACTTAAAAATATTTTCCAGGTTTATCTCGTGGCGGTTTTTAGTAATAAATTTTTTACCACAAGCCTCTACGATGGATAGATTCTCAGATACAGTACCTCGCATTCTTAGTTGGCCACCCTGTACACGCATGGGTCGGGTTAAGTGCTCCTTAAATTTTTATATGAAGAAAATGACATATGTGCCGCTTCGCACAGAACGTGAGAACAAGTAGGTTTGGTGATAAACGTGCGTGATTAAAGAAAGCGTGGGCCGTTACCGCGATAACTCGACTATTGATCGTTGCTCATTTCCCAGTGCCTACAGGTTAAGAGAGATGATCACCGCGGAAAAATTTAAATCGTTCGTGGGTCTGAATTGGAGTAGTAAACCAGTACGGATAAAAGGGGGAGGGGGGGGGCACTTAAGCGACCATCCCATCTTTCTTATTTTACCATAAAAATATTCGTTAATCAATTTAAGGCACTCCGCGTCGAAAATTTCGTTCCCGACCGCCTCCACCTCCGACGTATGGGGTACAGTCAACGTCTTCTGCTGACGTTCGGGTATGGACGGCGCTTGTAACTTGAGATCGGACTGCAAATGTCGCTAATCAACAAAAGCGCCTTGCACTACGTAAAAGGCGTACCTGCGACAACTGAATTGCGCTAGTTTTACCCAGCTGCTGCTGCGAGATGTTGGCGATGCGAGCCGACGGGCCCGTCCTGCCCAAACGGGGGCTCCTCTCCAAATCGGGAGTCTTCGCCTTTGAGCTCTTGAGGCGATCGCCGCTGCTCGTGTCTCGCTTTCGTGTGAAGAACCTGCGTAACAAAAGCGAGCCGTCAGCCTATGACGCATCTCACACGCGCGCGTGTATCTCACACAAAACTAGGGCCAATTTAAAGTGAGTGTGCCACAATAGTACGAAATTTACCTGAATAAGGTACCACTGTAATTATGCAAACAAAATAGAATTTTAAATCGATATCACATTTTATGTTCTTCGAATTCAAAAAGTACCTAAAAGGCGAACGTCCGCGCTTCTTCTTGTCGTCCATCTTCTCGGGACTGAGCTCCATCTCGTGATAGCGGTGCAAATCCAGCTCGCTATTCGAACGATGCACTAGTTTCATGGACGACGAGTTTAAAGTTGCCACTGGAAATTGACGATCGCGTTAACGGTCGATTGGTTTCGGCGTTACCTGAGTCGATTTCGAATGTGGGCAGGTTTCGCGTCAGCGACCCCTTTCGCGGTGGCCGCGACGGACTCTTCGAGTGTTTCGTTAACGGCTTCATCATTTCGTCGGCCTCGACGGCGTCCTCGGAATAATTCCGCTGGAGGCCTACAACGCGAAGTTACATCTTTGATGGTGCGCACCACGATAATACCCTTAATATCGCTCATGGAGAAACCGCTCTTCATGATTTGCTCGATGTGAGCTGCGGGCGCCGCGTTACTGTGATCGACTTCGATTTTTAGACGATGTTGTCGAATTTTTATCTCTTGCCAGCGTCGCATCTTTTCTTCTTCGCTAAATAGCGTCCATAGTTAACATTATTCTCGCACTTAAAACTCACCTGATAAATTCGGACGCGCAAATGACAGGTAAACTGAGCCTTAAGAATTCCCAGTTCGCCTTCTCCATGGTCTCGAAGGTGTTATGGCTAATTTTCAGGCAGGGCGGACTGTCGGAACCGGCCATAATTCGCGTGACGTCGATCCTCGTGTCGGCCATATCGTCCGTGTTTTCAAAGATAGGCTGATCCTTCGTGAACCAATAGGTAACGGCGCGAGTCATGTTCCTGCAAATCTAAATGTAGTGCCGGGGCGCAGCCGTAGTGCTGTACACATTAGAAACACGTGCCCAATTCGCCATCTCTTTCCGGCTTCGAGTCTAATGGAGAAATGCGCATGCGTGTTTTAAAATTGTCACAGCCCTACTGATTAGCGTGGAGGCGTACACGCAGAACGGTTCGTATCCCTCCTGCAGGCCGCAGGTTGTAAAATACTTTAGAGTAGTAACATCCTGGCCGAACGTCAACTTTGCCTTCTGGCCCACGCCTAAGGTGCACGCGGGAACGAAGGCGTCGCCCTGTACATCTGCAAACGTCGTCTCCCCACCTAGCGCGTCCATCAGCAGTTCGCCGTTTAGGGAGAAACCTGCAAGCACAGAGTCAGACGGCTTTGTGTGCGCGCGCATGCGTGTGAAAGGTGGTTAGGGAAGCCAAAGTAAATAAAGAGTGAGTAGGAAAGTGTACAACACAGAAATAAAAGTGTAAGCGGAACGAGGACAAAATCTTACTGATTGTATGATCGATAAGATCTAAAAACACGCCGACAACGTCTCCAACTTGCCACTGTTTACCAAACGATTCTGCTGTTCCTACATATACTTTTTCCTCCTATCAACAAAACGCTTAGATCAGATTTTGTTAAAATCCAAACTGGGAAAGAATGGGGAGCTTCTGGTAAGATTTCCGGAATAAGCAAACATAAATCACAGCCGCGCGATGTACCGGAAATCTCACCAGAATTTGAGTCAGAGTCACCATTCCACCCAGGCTAACTACAACAAGTGCAAGGCAGAAATGTCTGGAAACGTATTTTAACATTGACCGCAAACAACGACCACGCATGCACCAAAGTCGCTCGCCAGATACGTATAAACTCACTAATCGCATGATCTGTAATATCAAGAAAACATCCTATAACATCGCCTATCTGATACACGGTCCCATACACTTCAGATACACCTGCATGAACCTTACGCATCTAGTAGGATATAAAATTGACAACACTGTACGGCAACGTTGACGTACTTACATTGTAGCCGTCGAACGCCCAGGTGCTTTCGTCGGAACCGATCATGCAGCCGGGCACGCAATCGGCACGAGCCCAACCCACTCGCATCGGGCCCGCCGTAAGAATTTCGAATTCGAAATACCACTTGCCGGAGCTGACCGCGTACGTCTTTTCGGCGCGGTACGTTCGAAACTGCGACCGTCGCAACCTGCTAGCCTCGGCCAGCAGAGCTTAAACAAAGACAGTTACGCGACCATCACCAACGGGATGTCGTACCTTCGGGTTGCTCGCCCGTCGGCGGATCCAAGTTGTACCCGTACACCAGCAGCGTTCGCACAGTTTCCGACGCCGTGTCGCGATTGGCCTTTTTGATCGCGTCGTCGACCTTCGAGTAGGGCACCAGGTGCGGGCTGCGATGCAGGTCCGGATCCTAAAGCACCGCGTAAGCCTATGAGCGTTCCACGTAAACTGCCGCTCACCTCGTTCAATCCGTACGTCCAGCCCTGCTGAATGCGCTCCTTCGCCCAGAGGTTGTGCGTGTTCTCCGCGAGCTGATCGACCAGCTCCTCCATTCGTGGGGTTAGAATGATCGCGGCGAGGTCTAGCGGCGCCGGTTTGTAGCCGTTCGACTGCATGAAGGGCTCGTGGGGTAGGCGCAGGGTTTTGATGCGCGAGGGTGGCTTGTCCATGGTGACGTGGTAGCCCAGGGCAAGTATCGTTCTACAAAAGTTTTATTTTTCAACAAGATGCCGTTCTGCTATTGGTTTAAAGGGGACGCCGCTCGCGTAAACTTCGTTGGTTCCGTTTTTGTATCAATATAAATAGCTTAGCACCAAAAAAAGGGAGGGGAGACAGCGAGCGAGCTAAAAAGCAATAAGAGAATTGTCAAGTGGCTATAGTTTCGTTGCGAGATGTGCAGTTTCAAGTTAAAATTAATCGGTTAACAAAATGGCGCGTAAGTTATGAAGAAGGGGAATCTGTTCAAACGCGGAGGGGTCCTAAATCTTTGACCTGATGAAAGATTGTAATCGCTGCTAGAATGAATGGAAGTCTATTTAATCTGGGACGAGCCGCATTTTTTTCAATTAATTCTCCCATGGCTACAATTACCAAAGAGCGGCTGACCTTGCCCGGGTAATTTATTTCGAACACAGGAAAAAATATTGTATCGCCTTCAGAAGGTAAAAATTTTGACCAGTAACATTTTTTTAAATTTCAAATGTGACAAAAGCGGTTTCTCTTACGGAACTTACTTTAAAGTTTGCACAGCCAATTGAGAATCGTATCGTTTTTCGGCCGGTGGTAGTTTCTCGAACGGGACGAGGCAAGGGTGTATATGTCGGACGTCATCCCGATACTCGCCCCACTGCCAACCGGCTTCGATTTTATTCATCGCCCACATTTCGTGTATGTTTTCGGCCAGTTTGTCCTTAACCGATTCGATGTAGCCTGCCAGAAAAAACTAAGAGAACAGAATTGCATTCGCGCGCCGCACTCCGGACTCACCGCTGACGTATCCACAGGATTCGGCACGAACGCCACGTCATCCTCGACCACTAACGGTCCCGCCAGCACGCACTTGTTCAAGTTACCAAAGTAAAAACACGGATCCAAGCTAAGGATCTGCTGAGGCAATAAGCTTTCGATGAGCGGCGAGAATTCCTCGGGCGGTACGAATCGGAGGCGTCCGTGATCGCCTCCGAGCAGAAATCGGCAGCTGCGAATTCGGAATTAAGACAAAATTCAAGGTGTCACCACGTACCTCAACTTCGACGAGCAGCTGATCGACGGAAAGAACATCCCTTCCAAATTGAAGTTGCGGAAACTTCCCCTAATGGGAATCCCGTTGAACGTAAACGAAATTATGGGTATAGTTAAGTCTAATGCACAGCCAATTACGTCCCCCTTCTTAATATAAGGCTCGATGGGGTTGTTGATTACGCGAGTAGATCGCCCGCCCGACCAAAGATAGGCGCCGTCGAATCCGAACGAGTAGAGATCGTCTCCTATTCCGTTGCCGCCCCATTTCTCGCCTCCGCCCGGGTACGGTATGTAACTGGTAGAAGAAGAACGTTAGGATTACCGACCACTCCGAACGGATACTTACCCTTTGGTATTGGCCCAACCGATGCGAAGATGCGGCATCATGTGCGTCGTCTGTTCCCAGTGATCGACGGTGACCTCAAAGTACCACTTCTGGTAGATGGCGCTGTTTTCGACGCGCCCCACGAATATATTTGGACGGATGCTGTTGGTTACAAGAATAAGTACCTGGACAAGGTGTCTAGGTAGGTATACCTGGCGACGTGGTCGACGAGTTGCGTCTGTAACAGGAGGTTCTTGCCCGGCAGCAGAAAGTCGCATATGTTGTTTTGCGAACTGCGCACCGCGACGCCGTTACCGACGCAAAGCGAACACAGCACGTCTAAGACCTTGGGATCTCTTCCGTGCTTTTCCAGTAGGGAGATGATCACTTTGATGTGTTCGTCCTGTGTAATATAACTACATTACATCTTCTTTATGTAGAATATACATAACAATGTCACATTAATGTTACGGTTACGTTACGTTTGATATGCAATGTAAATAAAGACCCTAAAACGATCTAAACCCGATATCTCTCGCTGGAGACTGAGTATTCTACACCCCACAGACCCCCCAATTTGTTACCTGATACAGCTACTGCAGAGGATCCCCAATTCCCCTTCCATTCTCTTTTTAGCAGGTGGCGAAAGAGGGAGGGACTATAAGGCAACGAGCTAGTGTTCGAACAAAGGGGATGAAAAAACTCTTTTGAAGACTATTCTTATCGCTCGGTATGCACTACCTATATGTTTTGGACGGGAGTAAAATCATCTCACCTGTAACACCACATAATAGCTATAAACGTACTCTGTATATTCTGTGGTCGTCACGCTTAACGCTCGGCAGCCAAAGGTGAGCTCGGCCCGCTCGCCTGGCTCGCAATTGTTTAAGCGCATTTGTCCATTTGAAAGGAAATGCGCCATTAAAATCGCTGACGTGTCTTTGAAATTGAATAACATACACATTTAGAGCGTATTTAAGCGCAACTGCAAGGTCGCCGCCCTTCGATTATGGTAACGCGGGTTCGAACCCCCCGAGCGCGCGCTTTTTTTTTCTATAATAGATATCGGCAAAAAAGAAGGGAGCGAAGGATTGTGAAAGAGAAAGAAGTAGTCACTTCACAAAGTGCAACTTTCGAATTTTTTCAAGGTGCGCACCACTAAAAATTGATCTAACATCTCTTGGGAGTACATACCCTCCAGATCCCTCGGTGCAACGTTCTCTCCCAAAACTTCTACATTCCGCCGCGCTCTTAGAGCGCCTTCGATTTTTCTTCTAATTTTTGGGGAGGGGGGAGAGGAGATCATAGCATCAGAGGCTATGGGACAGGAAAAATCAATGGAAATTCTTTATGGGTCCGAGGGGGGGGGGATATCCCCAAGGAGATTGTGTCGTGATTGTGTTTTATAATTTTCTTGCCTCAGACCCCGGGTGCTACGATCTCCCCCCACTCTTCCAAAAAGTAGAAGAAAAATCGAAGGCACTGTGAGGACGCGGCGGGATGTAGAAGTTTCATAACCCGGGGGGGGGGGGGGGGGTCCAAACCCCCCATTGCTAAGTCTGGGACAAAAAAACAATGAAAATTCTTCAAGAATTACCATGAGAACGTTGAGGGGTTAAGTGATATCATAGCACAGGGGGTTCTGGGGTATGGATACCCCCCCCCCCCAAGAGGTTCTGTTGTGAGTTTTATAATCCCTGGGAGGTATTTCAAACACCCCCTCCCGATGGTAGCACCGAAGGGTCTGAGACAAAAAATCAATAGATATTCTTCAAGAATTACCATGACAATGTAGAGGGCTGTAAACATGTTGGGTGATATCATAACTGGGGGGTTTGGAATACCCTCCAGGGATTATTGAACAATCACGACACAATCTCCTTAGGTCTTCTAATTTTTGGGGAGGGGGGAGAGGAGATCATAGCATCAGAGGCTCTGGGACAGGAAAAATCAATGGAAATTCTTTATGGGTCCGAGGGGGGGGGGGATATCCCCAAGGAGATTGTGTCGTGATTGTGTTTTATAATTTTCTTGTCTCAGACCCCGGGTGCTACGATCTCCCCCCACTTTTCCAAAAATTAGAAGAAAAATCGAAGGCACTGTGAGAACGAAGCGAGACCCCAGACCCCACGTTGCTAAGTCTGGGACAAAAAAAACAATGAAAATTCATCCAGAATTACCATGAGAACGTGGAGGGGTGCAAACAGGATGGGTGATATCATAGCGCAGGGGGTTCAGGGTAATATGGAACCCCCCCCCCCCGGAGGTTGTGTTGTGAGTTTTATAATCCCTGGGAGGTATTTCATACATCCCCCTCCCGCCCACGGTGTTACGTTCCCTCCCAAAACTTTTACATTCCGTCGCGCTCTCAATGTCTGCCATTTTTTCTAGTTTTTGGGAAGGGGAGGGATGGTAGCACCAGGGGGCCTGAGACAAAAAAATCAATAGAAATTCTTCAAGAATTATCATGACAATGTAGAGGGCTGTAAACATGTTGGGTGATATCATAGTACCGGGGGGTCTGCTCTGAGAGCTCTTTCTCTCGTTTGGGGGGGGGGGGGGGCTGAAAACGTGTTGGGTGATACAGCACGGAGGAGGAGGGAGGCCCAGGGAATACCTCCCTGAAGATCGTGTTGCGATTATTTGCCCTGAGGGATCTCCATACTCCCAAGCTCCCCGCTGCTACGTTCTCTACCAAATCTTCTACACCCCACCGTGCTCTCAGAGTGCTTTTGATTGTTAGTACGGAGGGAGGGGGGGTCGTAGCACCAGGGGGTCTAGGACAAAAAAGCCTTCAAGAATTATGTTTTGGGTGACATCATAGGACTGAGGGGGGGGGGCTAGAGGATAACCTCCCAAGTTATTGCAAAACAGTGGCACTCTGAAATCCACCCTGAAATCAGAGGGGAGGGGGGGAGGGGTGTATTCCATAGATCGCGCCAAAAAGGAGAGAGCAAATGGTTGTGAGAGAGAAAGAAGTGGTTACTTCTGTAGGCACTTCCGAAGTGCCACTTTCAAACTTTTTCGCACCATTCAAAATTTCATATATACCAGTCATGGAGAATCTTTGAGACCCGTTGTAAAGTCCCTAGAGTTCTGGGGTCTCTTTGACTACTTTAGTTCCTCCATAAAGATCTTAAAGGCTCTTCGCGATCTGGCTTACTTAAGGACCAAGATTATTAAAAGCTCTTACAGACTACAGGCCTTTTGAGAAATTTTTGGAGACTAATATTCCAATTAAAGATTGTGGAACTATTAGTTCAAGTTTCAAGATAGAAATTTCAAAACTCCACACAGTCTTATACTTACCCTTAACATATTTAAGGCTTCGGGAGAATCGATCAGAACGCAGTGCAGCACGTCCAACATTCCCGTTCCTTCGCCGGCGGCCTGAGAACCCAAACGCGAGAAGAGCCAGTTCAATCGATTCGTGTTCGCGAACTGCGCGCAATTCGTATGATTCCCCTTGATGATCGCCGCTGAAAACGAAGACAAATCAAAAAGCCGCTCAACGAATCGCGCAAGCTACCCAAAAGCTGATAGAGATATCCCGAGATCATCTCCCAACTTTGATCGCCGGCGAGACCGGCGAGGAAACCCTGCGAGGTGATCACGTTCATCTTGTCGATCGCCTCGAGTATCAAATTCAAAATCCCCTCCTCTTGAAAGAGATCCTGGCGATTTCTCAGCGCCCTCAGCTTGTTTTGCTTCTCCTCGTGCTCTAAACAAATAACAATCACTACCGAGTACCTACGACTAACATCAATCTACCTATGTCGTCCTCTGGTTGAGCAAAGTAGTTGATCAGATCCTCGAGGCACATCACCATCTCGTTCAGGTTGACGTTCGCGAAAAACACCGATTGTCTTCGGCTCATTTGTAAACCCTCCAAGCCGCTGCAAATGATGGCTATTACAAGAGGCGGGACAGCGGACACTCACCTGATAAATTGAACAAACAAACAGTTGCACTTGCGAATGACCCGTGCCGTTTTCGACTCCTCCTCCTGGCTCCTGCTGAAGTCGAGGCCGTCGTCCATCTTCCCCTCCTCGTGCAATATCGCCTGCTTCTCCTCGACCTTTCCGACGCCCTTCTTCTTGGTCTCGTACGACTGTAACAGCTCTCGAATTATTGGCGTTTGCGCAATACCGCACGCACCTTGTACGAGAGCCACAGGCCGGTCTCCGAGTGCTGAACGATCACGGTCGAGTCGCCATATTTGATTATCGCCGAACCGATCACTTCCAAATCCTTGTCCTCGACGACGATTTTTTGATCGTCCTTTTCGTGACGCAAACAAAACGTCGACGAGGCGGTGGTCGCCTCATCCCTATAGCCAAAGACAGTTAGGGTTGTATGAAGATAATGAAGATACGAACCTGCCGACGAGATAGAGCTCGTTATTTTCGTTGACGCTCAGATAACGTCCGGTGGTAATGTGTCGTATTCGCATTGGGTGAAAGAAGTTGATGAAACCGCCGGCCCATTTCGTGCGCGCCAATTCCAAACGCCAAAGCGAGCGGGCCTGCGACATGACGCTGCCCCCTTCGTAGACGACGATGCTGTAAAAGCAACTTAGTGAATAACACACAGAGGCGCTGTCGGTCAGTACTTGTGGGCGGGGTCTTCGGACCACGTCGACGGCACGCTCAGACACTCGTCGCCTCCGTGAAAAAACCGAAGCACGTCTCCCCCGAATACGTAACCGACATACTTCATTCGGGACATTCCGGTACCGTACGGCTGCACCGACCAATGGGTTACATGGAAGCTTGCATTGACAACGGATAGTTCGTTTTCCTTAGTGGTGTGCTATGGTACAAAGGTGGCGGTGAGTGAGTAATGGAATAGTGTAACATTACCAAGTATCGCTCGGTCGCTACCGATACCAAAATCAGATCGTCACCAACGCGCACTTTCTCGCCCTCTGATCTGTGAAATTAAGAGGAGAGTAACAAGGATATAGATATCGAGGGTGAAGTAGGTAACCTTTGTTTACTTGCCGGATGGACGGTCCACCAACACGCTTCACCTTGACTGTGCTCCTGAAGGCCGACATCAAATGACAACTTGTCATTACTGGAACTGGTGGATAAGCAGGCCAAATACTGCAATCAGTCATACATGTTAACTTCCAGCTATAATACAGATATATTCCGGAAGAATATTCTTAGAATCGGAATATTCCCTGGGTAGAATATTCCATCGTGTCAGGATATTCTTAGTGTGCTCTTACCATGTAACTGTTCCAATGCCTCAAAAGTATAGCATTACCGTAGAGAAGCGTGCGGTGACCGGATCCGGTTCCCTTTCCCTAAAGAAAGTCGATACGTTACAACTTGCAACAAGTAAACGGTCGCTGTTTTAGTGTTTCTAACATCGCCAATGACTACGTAAATAATAAGAAAAACAAGCGCAAATTAAAGCAACATAACTTGAGATACGAGAGTGACGTAGAAAGTTCGCAACAAATCCGAGCTCGCGAGATATTGTTGGAAAATTTTCAAACCACTCTCTCTAACTGATCTACCCTATAAACTACACATTATAATGTTATAGAGATTATACCAACAGTAAGTCTTAAGTGTGTGTGGTCAGGGGCGGATTAACCATAAGACAGCGAGTGGGATTCAAAATATTTTAATTAAATTTTCGCCCCCCCCCCCCGC